TAAGTTGCAAAGTTTCTTAATTTCGACAGAGAAGTTTTTTAAGTGGCTTATGAATATTTTTCCAGAATTACAGGCTCTGCACAAAATTATACTAAAGTGGCCCACAGTGCGGAGGCTCGTGGCGCATGTCTAACACTCGTTATGAGATTCATGGCCTACATGTGTTCGCTCCACGGCCTTGTAAATGGGCGCGGGGCGTGTTGTACAGTGTGGCATGCCCCAGTATGTACTTTACGTGCTGGGCAGCCCTGTGGGCGTGCCTGGGCAGGACCTTAGGATGTGGGTGTAGTTGTTGCCGTGGCTGTAGTTGTGTTTGTAGTTGTAGTTGTGCAGCCGCCAGCAACAGCAGCGGGTGAGGTGTCCTTGAAGCCATTTTCTTATACTCGTACATATAAACGGATTCTGGTCTCTTTATTTTTTTTTTCTTGCTGGCTGGCCGGGCTCTTTCATTTTCGTAGTCGCTGCCAGGGCCGCCCAGATAAAATTTTCAACCAGGAAGTTGGCTTCCTGTGGCGCTCTGGTTGTGATTCTGGTTCTGGTTCTGGTTCTGCTTTTGACTCTGGCCCTGGCCGGTCCGCAATTTCTTTCATATTTTGTTTTGGCCATTACGATGGCTACTTTTGTCGGTCATGGTACATGCTACACGGTACATGGTGGTGGCTTGTATAAGCCCTGGCCTCTGTTTGTATGGCTGTCGGTTATTTTCATTTTCATTTTCGTTTTCTTTTGATTTTGATTCCATTCATGGCGGCATTCGGCTGTGATTTAATTTCGGAAATGTGACTAAAATGTGGGAGTGAAAATTACGGAATAAAATAAAAGATGTCCTGTGTGGAGGGCAATTCAATTTAAAATCACCCGCTTAAAGCTGTTCAAGTTGGACTTTGCGGAGGAGTTCTCCCAGCTGAGGCCGCCTTTGAAGCCTATTTCCTTGAGACCAAGGCTAGGCAATTTGTCTCCCCGGGGAGTTGGGCCATTCAAAGGAGTCTTCTTTCCACGGTGGATAAGTTCTACATGCATGTAGCTAGTGGGAGTGTGGAATTTCAAGCCCCGAAACAACTCAAGGACCGTCACAGGCCACGTTCAGGCCACAATCGACCATTTTTCTTTGGCCCTCCAATGTTGCGTGCCCTCCCGAGTTATTTGAATTTCACGCGCGCATACACTGGCAGGGATAAACTGGATTTATATCCGCTAATGCCTGTGATTTGTTCTATAAAATTACTTTATGCCTGGAACATGCCGGCGGACCTTGTCTGCCTTTTATTTCGGCCTTTGTTTTCGCTCCCAAACAAGGACACGAAGGACACAAAACCGGGAACCGGGAACTGGGAACCCGGCCAAAGCCAGTGCCTACAGTTTTCTAAACGAACGCCTCGCCAGCATAACGACTTATGGCCTTATCCTTTTCGTAGCCCAGAGTGGGTAAATGCCGGGTGTTTGCCGTTTTATTGTTTGGCTTATGTTGCTGATAGTGTTCCTTGGTTGCGTTGCCATGGCGTGTGCGAAAGCGTGTATGTGTGTACGAGTGTGTTTTGGCCAGCAAAATGTTAGCTTTGTGCGGTCAACTTTAAAAACATTGTGGACTTTGCTGCCAGTCACGACTGGCTGGCTAGCTGGCTGGCTGGCTGACTTCGTTTGTGCTCCCAATCAAGCATGCATTTAAATTGGAAAGCCACGTGGCCAGCCACAAATCAATTAGAAAATGGCAAGTCCACTGCGATAAGTCATGGGACGTTGAAAATTATTGACAGTCACGCCCTGGCTTCAAATCCTCATCAGACCGGAGCAGACAAACAGCAGTAATGAGGACAGGAAATCAGTTTCGAAAAGTATTGGTTGGGGATGAACGACAGGCGAGCAGGATGTCGATGACGATGCCGCCTTGGCAGCTGCCCGTGTCTAATGAACCCCATGGAATGTCTGACACTCGGCCATAATGACTGCCAGCAATCCGCCAGGCCAACTGACAGCTGGACGGGGCAAGACAGCTGACCCCAAGTCGATATTGCGGGGTGCCTTTTAATCAGACCCGATACAACACTTCATATCAGTAGTCCTCCGCCTCTTTAAAAACTCCTGTTAAAGTCAGAGAGCTTTTAAAACACCTACAAAAGTTATTACACTCTTATGAAATATTTATTTGGGCATTTTTCTGGGTGTTCTCAAATACTTTTTGACTATCTTGACATTTTTATGTACGACTATTATATTTTTTATTTGTATTCTTAATTATATGAAGTGTTTTTAAAATCAATTGTTTTTAAAGATGTACATAATAGATTATAGATGGAAGCCCAAAAATTTATTTACCACTTTATTTTAACCATTTAAAAGAATTTTTTGTGCTTGACATTCATTCGCATTAACAGCTTTCAGACAATCATTGATATGGCAGTTATTGGAAAAATATTTATATATTTTATTTAATCGTTTAATTGTTTGGCTTTAATTAGCGAGAAAATGGCCACCAACGAAGGGGTTCTTTAATTGCTGGGACGTGCTCATGTGTACGGCGGTCAATCAATCATCTGTCCAGTGAAGTTCTTAAATTATCCACCAGCAAACAATTATTGACTTTAATAGTTGGCCCATTAATCATGGCCTTGGCAAGACTATTCGAATCAAATGGAAAACTGCTCAAACTCTTTGCCAGTGGTCAGTGGTCTTGTGGTGAGCAGTTTAAGTCCTGAAAGTGCTGGGGATGAGGAAAAGCATTTATTATGCTTTCGGTTTGCGGTTAGCTCTGTGTATTTTGGAACACCTGTGTGCAAGTTTGTCTAATCAAGGGGAGGTGGGCCATCGGAAAATCGAAATGATGAATATGGAAACCAATAGAGTGGCTAGCCATGAATCTTTCCGCAGCACTTGAACTTTATCTAGTGCCGAATTGAGTTTGCGGCGATAAATATCAATTTCCTACGAGGCCTAATCTAGTTGTTAAAGTCAAATCGATGGTATCCCGAAGGCAGTGCCACGCCCCTGCAACAGCTGCCCACTTTGGCTTGTCTCGGCACGGAGCGTTGATTAATGTTGATTGATTGATTATTTGCGTTTTTCTGACATGATGCACGCTTTATTGTCGCTCAGCTCGTGGAAAATCATCAATTTCCGCTTGTAAAAAAGCACATCGCGAACAAAGAAACGCTGCTCGCTTTTTTTCCCCGACCCAACCACCAGTGAGTGGTGGAGATGTTAAGCCTCCTGCCAACTCGCCGCAGCTTGTTGCACAACCCAAAGGATCTGGATCTCGCCGCTATTTTTTTTTTTTGTTCTGCCAGAGTTAGTAATGAATTTTTTCTGGGCCCGACTGCCAGGCAGTCAACGGAGCATAATTGCGGTTGCCGAGCATCTTGTCAGCGGTCGTGCAGTTCAAATTCGTTATTCCCTCCGTACATATATTGGCCAGCTGCCAGGGCTGAAAAATGGCGAGAAGTATTGCGACATAAATGTCGAAAAAAGGCGGCATGATTACAAAGCCACCAGTGGCTGGAAAGTCAGCCAGGACATCGGTGTCTGGCTCGTGACAGCGGCTCCTTTTGGTTCTTCGCACGGAGGGCTCCTCCTGTTGCGGCTGCGGTTTGGCTTTCGGTTCGAGCCAGGATATCTTGGCCAGCCGGCCGGGCCATGATTGAATTTTCGCAAATTTCGGCTCGTTAGCGTGCGGCACGAACACGTACGTCATGCTGGGGGCAACGATACCAATCCGCCGAAGGTTGGCCATGTTTATGCCATGTACGGCAACAAGTTGCCAACTGTTTTTGGGCCTCCACTCGTCTATCCATTCATACATATGTATTTGTATATGTATATGTATATGTATTGCGTATGTATGTGCACTTGACACGCTTCATTTCACTGGGTTTTGTTCTCGTCGTCTTGCGTTATCCGATTATTTCCATATTTTTCGCGCTGTCAGACACGTTTTTTACTTACTCAGTCGTTGACATTTTGCGTGACTGACGATGGACGCGTGGTGTGAATAAATGAAAATGGAAGCGAAATTGGCGCCACTGGATTGGGCCTCCAACTGGGGCAATGTGCTCGCCCTCGGCCACTTTGTGTCTTAATTATGATTGCGAATGGCGGAAGCGTTGGCACATTCAAAATTAATTTATCGATTTCCAAGGAGTAATATCCAAAGTCGATTGGGAAAATTGGCCCTGAAATTGGGCTCATTTGCAAGGGGCTCGTGACTCGATGTTCCCAAGTATTCCAGATTGTAACTTTCTCTTAGCATATGCACCGAAAAAGGACTTCATTTAACGTGCTTGTTATTTGTCCTGAACACATACTAAATGTCATCAACTGCCGTTCAGGACTGACGTCCACATTACGTATACGCAGCGTGGTCCCAGAACCGGTGGTCAGCCATGTGTGTGAACTGCGGACAAATATAAATTTTCAATTTTTTTGAAAGCTCAGTTTGGTGCCAGCACCTTGGTCGCACGTGCTGGACTGAAAAATGCTGGGAAAATGGTACGAAAATGTCGTTTAAGTGCCACCCAAATGCCCCCCACTGTCCGACCATTTCCTTTGTGTGAAAAATGAAGGTTGGGCGAGCGGAGGGGGCTGCAAATATTTGACACCCCGGCTGCAGAACGGACGCACCCACGCCGAACTGGCATGCAGGCGCAAAAATTTCTCATGTGCACTTTGGCAAACAAATTAAGATTTATTGAGCCAGGTCGAAGGACGAAGTCCCGTAATCTGCCAGTTCACTCTGGAGTATCTTTCATTCGGGGCAGCCGCAGCGTGGGACGTTGGCAATTTGGAAATTCCGGGCGGGCGCCATCCCGTGCCTTAAATTGCCTGCATATTTGGCGCCAAGCTGGGTTCTCACCGATTCCTTTTTTACTCCACCCAGTTTTTTAATGGTTTTTCAATTAAACCACAATTGGGCGGGCTTTCATTGCAAATGGCCCTTTTGTTTCCTGTCCTTACTTATATTTACAAATTTATTTATGTGCGTGTGCACCTTTTCTTTTCTTTCCTTTCAGATGGACAATCGGAGTTCCAGGTGCAATTAGTGGTGCCGCGGTATGTGGAGCGCGGATCGAGCGCCACCTTCAAGTGCAAGCACAATGTCCAGCCGGATCTCCTCTACAAGGTAAGTGAAGTAACCTGCGGTTCGGTTCGGTTCGGTTTGGGTTTGGATTAAGTGCGCTCCGGTTATGTCGTGCATGTGCATATAAATTATGGAAAGCGCATTAAAAACTTTAAATTGAAAAATAAAAATTGCCATCCATGGAGGCCGTGCGGGAGTGGAGTGGAGTGAAGCTCGCCCCACCGAGAAACTTTGTTCGCCTTGTGCTATTTTGTGGGGAAAAGTTTCCGGCACTGTGACAAACACAGGCACGCCGAGCCGTGTCCCCGGGTCAGGAGCTGGAATTCTCGCAAGTTTCGTGCCGCAACTTTGTGGCAGTCAAAGGCATCCCGCCTCGCGGACTCGCCGTGCACAAAAAGTTGCACTCAAAGTGCCATTCCGCTCCATCGAATCCAAGGCAGTCGGTTCATGCCGGCAGTCGGGCGGGCCGTAAACCTTTTACCGCTTCCGTCTCAATATCGACTCAGTTTCGCTTTCGCTTTCGGTTGCCCAGACGCGGCAATTAATTTCACTTCAGTTTACCTAATTTAATCACGAACCATCAACAGACACGCACTTGCGTACGCCGAAATCATTGCCAAGCCTTCGGGCCGTCGAGTTTATGGCCAAGATACGCAAGGAGGGTAAGGGTATGGTTCTAGTCCTTCCCCGGCATACACTTTCAGTTGAGCTGTGAACTTTTGTGGTCGGCACTTTGAGAGCACTATTCAGCAACATTCACACCGATGCCGTCTCAAGGTCGGTCAGCTCTACGCTGATGTTTTGCCCGCTCTAAGTACCATAAAAAAGCGTACAAATTTTATGGCTCACGGAGGAGCTGCTCTCATTGGCCGCATATTGATTATTTTTCTCCGGGAACCAAGATGGATTTAGAACAGAGCCAAATTGACGTTGACAGTGGGGCCTCGAGCTGTGTACTTATAGGCCATTGTGCTGCCAAGCCGAGCCCCTCTCGAAAACATCGAGTACATGGAATTCCGTGTCGTGTTTCCGGATCGTGACCCAAGCAGCTTTAAGCCGCCATTGTGGCTGTCTCATTTGCATGGAAATTCGAGGGATACTCCTCCACCGGGCCGGCCGCCGAAAGTGTCAACTAACAAATTTAATGCGCCGCTGAGCCGAGCCAATTTGGAGTGTGCTGTAGGGCGGGAAACATGCACAATTAGCGGACTGGCCAAATGGCCGAGCGGGCAAATAGCCCGTTCAGATGTAGACATTTATTTATTTGGCCAGTCGGTCGAGCAGGGCAATAGCTAATTAGTATAATTAACTATATAAGCGAGTGCGCTTGGCCGCCGCCACCATTCGCCATTCGCCATTCGAATTGTTGCACGAAGCGTGGCAAATTGTATGGCGGTATGGAAGTGGCACTAAAAAGGCAATTAAAACGCAAATGCCAACACTGACGGGATCATTTCGGTCGCCCGGGCCTCTTTACACATGTACGACATAATTTCTTTCGCCCAAAAATTATACTCGCATACATCCAAATTAAATAAACTAATTACGGAGTGAGTGCGATGCCCGGCAATCGGGAGGCCCCGAGCTCATTAATGGGCTTTTGATTTACCACTTTTCAGCCTTTGTGCGTTATTTGTGTCAACTGGTGGGTGGGGGCGGGGAGTGCAGCTACCACATGCGGGCTAATAAGCCCGAATATAAACAAAACCCGAAAGTCAAAAGAAATAAAGTCAGGCGGAGGCAGACACGCCAAAGCAAACACATGCCGCTGACTAAGCGAACGGCCAACATCGGCGGGAAGGTAAACATTGGGAGGCCCTTTGTTTTTCATTACTTTGAGATCCATTGGCCGTAATATCGGCAGCGATACGATAGGGATAGGGACAGGGATTGGTAAAGGGAGTTGCATGTCAGTCGAGAGAAAATGTTCCAAACGACCACAAGTGGTTGATAAAACTGGATGCGTGTCTGGCGGTCCTAGAGTGCGCTAATGGTGGGTCATTCGAGATCCCACAGGCCACCGCAGAGTTTGTGTTTGTGTTTCAGTGTTTGTGGATGTGTGTTTGTGTTCCCGAGTTTGCCCTCTCATTATGGCCCTCTGTGGGTGAGTGGTTGTGTGGCCTTTATTGATTGACCCGCACGGCGCTAAACACACACATGGACCTCGGACCTCGCCGCTTGAGGCTTGAGTAATGGCAACATTTGCGGCACAAATTACGCATACGCCTCGCCTGCCGCGGACACATTCAATAAGCACATTAATATTATTAAGTTGCGTGCAATCAATGCAATTTGTCCCGAGTGTGTCAATCAAGCTATCGCCAGACGGCTGTCCCGCACCTGGAATCACCTGATCCAATCTTCTCCAGTTCATCAGAGTGCAGTGGCCTTGTGTCCTTTTTTAAAAAAAAATAGTTGAAATTAAACACCACCTGCGGTTTTTCAGTGCGAGGGCCTTTCACTTTAACAGTTTAATTATTTAATTGTATATATTTTTTACCAAATCGATTGAAATATTATTGAAGAACATAAAACCCACATTTCACCTATTGCGCCATTTGATATCCCAAAATATAAATTCAAGGAATGTTATCAAACTTTTTGTGGTTTGTTTTTACATGCCAGCATATAGAACCTGCCGCCGCAAGAAAAACAAATTACTTTTCAACTTTAATCCGGCGCTCAAACACAGCCGCTGAAAAAATGATTAAAGCGCAGTAAATGCGGGCGTTAAAAAATATGCATAATAAATAAATGCTGGGTGTAATTAAAAATGGTCGACAAGAGCCGCACATCCGGCCAGAAAAGCGTTGTCAACCGCCCCTTTTCTCCGCCCAGCTAGTTTTAAGTTGAATGTGGAAAACTTGTGCATGAAAATTAATTTCCATTTTCATTATTCATATTTGTCGTTGTCGTAAGCCCCACAGACCCTCGAAAAAACAGAAACAACTTTTCGTGTACCACTGCAAGTTGCGTTTGTAGATTTCGTTTTTAATTGCGGGGTTGGCGGATAGTGGGTGGTGGTGATGGCACTCCCTTCGTAATTCCGGCACTGGCAGTCCAATAAAAACGTTCTATTATTTACAGTTTACAGTTTAACGCGCTAACAGCAACTCAGCGGCAGCATCATTCAGTTAGTGCAACTTGTTGCCAAGTTAAATTGCTCTGCATTTGGCAGCGAATCGTGACGCTTTTTGTTTGTTCGATTGCGCAACGTACCAAATTGCGCAAGACCAGTTAAGCCGTTTATTAATATGCCGCTGCAGCATTAAGTGATCCGGGGCCAAGGACTGCCGTCAAAGCTGACACATTCAATCACTGTCAGGAGCAGCAATCCGGCGAACGAATCTGATTGCGGGGGCTTGGGCAATCATGGCTTTCTTTTAATATCGGTAAACGTTTCTTTTTTTTGTTTTCCAGGTGACATGGCTGAAGGTTGACAAGGGCAAGTTCTTCGAATTCACAAACGGCCGGAATCCACCATTCTGGAACTCGACGATTGAGGGGGCCGAAATCGATGTAAGTAGCCCGAATTAGCCAAATGATGCGAGTCGTGGCCAGTTATTTACTCAATCATCATCACGACTGTCACTCCACAACCCATTAATCGCCTTTGCATTGAGCATGGGAGAATAGTCCACCAAAGTGCAGCTAATTGGCAGACACTTAGCATACATCTTGCATGTCCTTTCTATCAATTGATTTGCTAATGAGCTTTTTGTGTTCCATGCATTCTATTTTTTTTCCTAATTGACAGTGGGATAAGTCCAACGACCAGCAGGTGACTCTGAAGGATGTACAGTTCGATCTTTCCGGCCAGTTCTACTGCGAAGTCTCCACGGACACCCCCATCTACACGAAGGCCAGCTTGGATGTGCTTATGAGCGTATTCTGTGCGTAACAATTGTCTCATAATCTCTAAATCATAGCATTACATCCCCCACTTATTTATTTAGTGCCACAAACGGGTCCGCCCACCATCAAGTTCCGCAAGAGGACGCCGTTTGCGGTGGGCGAGAAACTTTTCGCTCTGTGCAACACCACCCGCGGACGTCCCGCCCCGACAATCACGTGGCTAATCAATGGAAAGAAGGTGCGTATGCGTGATATTTGAAACGGCCAATTCGCAATTCGATTGCGCAATTCGATTGTTGTCCGAAATCACGGACCATTTGCCGTGGATTATTTACGTTTACGTTTACGTGCGAAATGCGCCACCGAGCAGGCGGTTAATCAGTGGGCTAATGCACTTGCCACCCGAAACGACAGCCTGGGGATGTGGACGGCAATGCCAGCGAGGACGTGGCTGCAGTGCAGTGCATTAAGATTACCATCGGTTTAAGCCGTTTTATAATTATGGCCTACATGGGCGGACAGGGCAGCTTTCATTTTAATTGCACAAGCCCTCGGCCAGCTGCTGTCGGCGGCGAGAGGAAATGAAATTTAAATAAATTCATTATGGCAGACCGGGCAACTCTAAAATGAAATTTATTCATAAACGCGCCGGGGGCAGCAACTGCAGCTGACTGTGTGAGTGTGTGTATATCTGTGTGTGTGTGTGGCCAGCAGATGTGGGACTGACCCGTTGGGTCCTGATCCATATTTAATTCAAGCCTGGCGCTCGGGTCCAGAAGTGGAGCTCGAATGGAATTTGACATTGAAGTGACTTTTGTGCGCAGCTCATTGTAATTGCTGCCCCCGCCATGTGGCAAGCCGCCCATCCCCCACTCGACCCACTCGACCCACTTGTCCCTCACTGACTCATCGTCCTTACGGGCTTCTTTGTGTATCGACAGGTGGAGGACAAGTACGTGCGCACCCACCACGTGTTCTCGTTCAACGGGAAGCACCAGCGCCGCACGCAGCAGCAGCAGCAGACGCAGCTGAGTCAGCAGCAGCTGCAGCAGCAGTACTACCAGCAGCCCTTCTTCAACCAGTACCACCAGCAGTACCAGATCCCCGTCACCCAATTCATGGACCGCTACGACAAGAGCCTACGCTGGCCGGCAGGAGCACGCGCTGGTGAGTATCCATTGTCCAGTAAGAATAAGAACCACTGGCAAAAATCTACTTTGGGAGAAAATAAAATAAGTAACAAGTTGATTTATTTATTTTTATGTACTTCAGTACATTGAGTATTCAATCTGCTGTTTGAAGCTTTAACAAACAGTATAAAAAACATTTTCAAAGTTGACTAAATTAAAGGCATCTCTTTACTGAATTTGCACTGGTTTTTACTAAAAAAAATAACTTTATCATGATTACGAGTTAATTAGTACCCATTTGAAATTTTTGTTTCCATTTTTTGTTGCATTATTTTTCCGCATGTACTGGTTTTTCTTCTTTGGTCTTTTTTCGAGTATCTGCAATTGACAAGAAAACACGCTGTGAAGCGCCCTTGGCTAATGTGACATTCCTTTGCTGTTTGCTTTCCAAACGAGCGGGACTGCCACTGCAGCGCTTTCGTTAATTAGTTTGATTGCTGACCTGTGCCACCTGTTCTCTTTGCCTCTTTTCCCCTTTTGCCCCTCTATTTTGGGGGCACTGCAGATGAGTTCCCGCACTTCCTGTCGCACCACCATGAGGGCCACGGCCACCACGGAAGTCTGTACAACAACCCGTTCGGCTCGCTGGCCAACTACCATGACGTGGGCGAGTTCCACGAGGTGCACCAGCGCAACTACGACAGCAACAAGAAGAAGATGGAGCTTAAGAAGCAGCAGCAGATGGAGATGAAGAAGCACAGGTGAGTGGACATTAGTCAAGCCCCACCGCCATTGCCCTGGTGGCCATTACCAGGATCCCGAACTGTATTTATGGGCCATACAAATTAAAAAGCTGCAACTTTCTGCCAACCATGGCTAACCGGCTTAGATGTGGCCAAAAGGTACGCCCCGGGCGGGAAAAGTTCTACCTCCGCCGCAAACTTTTCATATTCTTATCAATTTTCCCAGGTTGCGTGTGTGGCGTGTTTATTAAAGTTTTCTTATCTATGGTCTAAAAGGATTTGGCCCGACTAAAGCCAACGGCTGTTGGCACATTGTTAGAGTTTGTTGCCCGGCGTCTTTGCCTTTTGTTGTTCCTGTATAACGCATAAATAAATTTTGTGGCCCGACTCTCTGGGTTGCTTTCGCCTTGAAGGCGCCCCTTAACTTGCCGGGTTTTTCGAAATCTTTACGTGGCGCGATTGGATGTGAAACGTAAATGAATGCAATAAATTATTTACGTTCACCTGTGATATTAAAAATCAAGCAGAGAAACTTTTCCAATATAACAACTTTTGGCCGCCAACTTACTTTGAGTGCGAGAAGGACGTGGTGTAGTGTACTGTATATGATCCTGCTTGAAAGGGGGCTGGCCGGGAGAGAATTGAGATTGTGGATTGGGGTGGGCGTGGTCGAGGTGTCAGCTTAATGAAAGCCACGACTCGCTTGGCGTTTCCACGAAGTGGCTGCTCTTTGAAGTCGGCACTGCACATGTGCCACGTGGCACGTCTTTGGGGGGTCCAAGGAGAAAAGTTGGGGGCAACTTGAAATAGAAATGGTCCGGCGAGCAAGCTGAATGCAGAGCACTGGAGTGCCATGTCTATGGCCCGACAGACGGACGAAGCAGCTATTGTACCGGAAACCCGTGCACCTGAGCCCAACCCATTCAATTCAGATGCCCAAGTGGGTTGACAGATTACGGCCGGGCTAAAAGCTAAAAGTTAACGAGAAAAATAGGGCAGCCCAAATGTCATGGCAACTGGTAATTGGCAAATGAATTTGCCATTTAAAGACGGTTACTCGCCGCTTTGGCTTTCACATTAGCATAAGCCGAAAAGTTTCGAATTCAGCCTCCGTAGATTCCGCAGTTTATGGCCGTCGAAAGTTTGCGGCGCGCATGTGTGTGCGAAATAAACCCACTTGGTTAATTTGCCATAAAGTAAAAACCATAATTTACACTCGTGCCATTTCCTCGCCGGGTAATCAGCGAATGCTAATTGCATTTGCCGCGGGTAAGAAACCAACCCGAATGCACAAGCTGCGCGCAGAACTATTTTATAAATGATTTCCCACAATTCCGAGTGCTGTAACTAGCAGGTAGTACCAAAGTGGGTGTGAGCCGTCTTACGATGACGAGGGGAGGGGCGGGAGGAACTAATTTTGCTGAGAGCCCAATGGCAATATGAAATAATTTATGTTCAAAGCGCACGAGGCGCTAACGCTTAACATAAGCTTGAGTCGAGGCCAAGATTGAAGGAGTCTTTAAATAGGAAGCATAGCGTAAGGCGAGAAATTTTGGTTTGAAATTCCAAGCACTTAAAATTCTATTAAAGGAGTTGGGTGTACAAGTTTCCGTTTCCAAGGATTTAAGCAGCTAAAATGTTTTGCAACTAGGCAATAAATTTTGTTCGGCAGAATTTTGAAAATCATTGTAATACTTTTACTAAAAATGTAAGGGACAAAGATACACTAATTTAATATTGACGTACTTCCTTCTGTAATTGTTTTTAAGCCAAGGACGAGGAGTATTTTAAAATTTATCGTAAATAAGAAACCGAAGAAGGAAAGCACTCATATTCTGAATATTTTTTTTACGAAAAGTTCTCTTATATCCCTTTCTACACTATAACTACGGTATGGAACCGTAAATTACATCATGTTGTAAACGATTTTTTCGCCTTCAAGCCTTGTCTTAACCATGCTTCATTCAGGTCCTGCAAAACACCTGTGGATGACTCCAGTTATGGGTTTATGGGGCGTGATTTCCTACCCGACCATTACTGAAACTGTGAGCCCCCTCTGCCACATAAAACCATGTGATAAGCGTTGCATATTTATGCAGCCGCCTGGCGTAAACTGGGGAAAAGTGCAGAGGAGTAAAAAGTGCACATGCAACAGCAGCGAAAACAAAGGCAGGACAAGGCCGAGCGGTGCAACAATAACTAGTAACAGCCAGCGTTTATGTGCATGCCAATGTGCATAAATTCCTTGGGCTCCATATCAGTGTGGGTGTGTATGTGTGCGGGAGGATGTGTCCTGATGTTTATGTTTGTGTGAGTTGCCTGCTTGGCCAGGCGTGGAATGAACTGCGCTGTTTATTAAGTTTGTGTGCATGTGTGTGCGTTATGCGGGGGTGTGTCGAAAATATTCATGTTATTTTATGCAAATGCAATGCTAATGTCACCACCCACGCCCCACACCCTCCGCCCCCTTACCTCCCATCAGTGAACTCAGTGACCTTGCAGAATTTATGGCCCGCATAAAATATTGGGTTCGGGTCTCTTTAATGTGTGTTAGTGGTCGTGACTGTGACATAAGCCATGCAAAGTAATTAACCGCTTAACGTGATTAGTGCTCAGCCTGCTGACAGACAGACAAACTGACTGAGGGACGGACAAGTGCCACTCGAAAGTCGGAACATCAGAAAGCTTTCATATTGCCGTGCTCACGTATTGTTTGTTTTTCACGGTTTTGTTCCATTGTTTCCGCTGGAGCACAGCTTGAAGACCCCTTTAAGATTGCAACGTGAAAAGAACACAACTGAATGGCAGGCAACGAGCCACAACGGCAGACGTTGCACGGCTGAAAAGGCCATAACACGTAGCTCTGAACGAACACTTCTCGGGGGAATGGCCAACAAAGGCGGGGAATCCGGCTAAGACAAACCGAAGTTGGTACACCCTTGCAAATATTCAGTTTATAAAATTGCGAGAACAGATTTTGTTTTGAAAAATCCAAGCACATAACCTGTGTTTGTACCAAAAAGACACTTTTAGAATTTTATTTATTTATTATTTACCTCAATCTGTATCAGCACGCATGATACTCATAACAATAAAAAACTTTTTAACACAAAACCATTTAAATTAATTGTTACAAAATAATAATAAAGTTCCAAAAGTAAGTTTTTCATTGGACAGGTAATGTTACCCTCGTCAAGAGCAAAACAAGAGTTTGGTACGAGTCCATTCTGAGGAAGATGGCTCAGAATGGGCCAGCAAGGACATGCGAACGGGAATGGGAATGGCGGGCTTTATGCAGTCAAAAAGTAGTTTACACGTTGTTGCACAATTTATGTTTGTGCAACACGTAAGGCCTTTTGTGGCAGGCCCATGGCAGCCGAGCAGAACCAAAACTAAATGTTGGGCAGGTCTGAAGGTCCTTGTCTGGGTCTAGCTTCCACCTGGCTTTTATTCCGGCAGTTGGCTTGCCCCTTGCACACTTCCTTTGTGCCAGTAGCCCAAAAAAAGAAAAAGTAAACACACACGATATTTCCGAAAAGCAATCCAAAACGCCAACAATCGCCGGCTTAAAGCGGCCACGAGAAACTCACCTCTTTAATAAGCGCTTCTTGCCATTTTTGGAGGTCTCTCTGGATTTTGCTACTTGGCTGCAAATGGAATTGCTATTAAAACTAAATTTTTACATTATTTTGAGGTATGTCGGTGGGAAGGCTGAAATGCTAACCTTTTGGTTGGCAAAGGACGACTTGTGTAAAGCAGAAAACAAAGCACGTTTTTGGTTTTCTGGTTTCGTTGGCTCGCTGGAATTCTCGACCGTCAACAAAGGAGGGCGCCCCTAAATGCAGCCAGCAATTTTCATTTAATTCTCAGTGTGGGTTTCTTGTGCAGGACCCAAATTGCCACCGACTTGACCCTCAAAAGGGCGGCCATTAAATGTCGCGACTGGCGATGGACTTGAAGCGCCAGAAATTGGCTCTGTGGCGGTAATTAGCTCTGGCCAGTTGGCCCTGATCGCGTGTGTGGCTGTAATCCTTTAAGGCGGGTCAACGGTGGTCGACGTTGACGTGCTGTAAGCCGTGCTCCCGCCGATGGCAAAGCTTTCGGAGTTCGCAGTTTGCAGGTTGGAGGTTGGAGGTCAGAGGGCACGGGTCACTTAAATTTACGGCAACTTTCAAGCCCGTCCAGCGGCAATGCGCTTTTGGTTTTAATTGCACCCAGTTTGGGCTAAGTGCTGACCGATAGCAACTACAAGGCGCTGAAGCGACGGCTTCCATTAATCTCGGCAGAAGGAACAGTATCGAGTATACATTAACTTAAGTTTATTTTATAGCGTAGCAGTTAAGATGGCAATGTGCGCAACACAATTTGGCTAATTTGTAGGTTAGGATGTGGCTTCCAGGCTTTCTACTTGACCTTGTTCACTGGCAGGTAGGTGGAGCTGGGAGCGGCGGCTGCTGGGGGAATATATCCAGTGGAAGGAGCCTCCAACTCGGCCGACACACTTCCCGTGGAGGCACGTCGCTCATCAATCAGCTGCTGCACTTGCTGCTGTTGCTGCACTTGCTGTTGCTGTTTAGTGGCAAAGTCCAGAACAGGTGCCACGCCTCCATTGTGGGAGATGGAGGAGCCGCCCAGGCGTTCGTATTCCTGCTGAATGGTCCTCTGAGCATTGAGGGCATCCTCCTGCGTGCGATACTTGACGAAGTGCACCTCCGGCTTGCTGGCACTGACGTGGTTAAGGTTCTGCAGCTGGTTGGCCAGGCTGGAGAGGTCGCCCTGCTTGGTCAGCACGTAAATGGCGGTCTGCTGCTCGGCAGCCTGCTTGGCCAGAGCCAGAGCGGCGTTCTCCAGGCCCTTGTTTTCGGGTGCCCTGATGAAGACCACTCGAAGGTTCTTTTTCAGAGAGGCAGCCAGATCACTGACACTCTTGTTATCCTCGAAATCAGCCTCGGGTGCGGAGTAGGTGAAGAACTCCTTGTTGAATTCGGTGTTTACGGGAGCATAGTTGTTGGAGTAGGATTCTCCAGATAAAGAACCTCCGGTAAGGGATCCCCCAGAAAGGGATCCTCCAGAAAGCGAACCTCCAGAAATTGATCCTCCAGAGATAGAACCTCCAGAGATGGAGCCACCAATTCCTGTTCCATAATTGTAGCCACCCACATCGGCATGGGCCACTGCCAAGACAGCCAAAATCTTTAAGGCAAAATCCAAAATTAATAAAGACACAAAACTAATAACACCATTTAAACTCACAGTAAATCCACGCATATTGATTGCCGCTTTCCTAAGCAATTTTCTCGGAAATCTGTTAACGTGTTGGTATCGCCGGGAGGTTTAAACTGTTAATGGTGCAGCCCATCTGGTCGAGGGGCGTTTTTATAGGGCCAAGCCCCGAACCCAAAGTTGAATATAAGATGCAGATCTCGGAGATGAGACAGCGGGTGTAGCCCCTGCCATTGATCCAATACCCGTTGCAGGTGACGCAAAACCCTAAAACTGTATCCGCCAGCATTAGTTTGCATAAATTCAAAACGGTTTGCCAATTTCGCTGGCAACGAAATGCAAAAACAAACCGCGACGGAACTGGACGATTGGTAGGCCAAACCAGAAATTATGGCCATTTAAGTGGAGCATTGGCAAGCGATTAGCATAGCTGGTCGGTTTTAATTAATTGCAATACGGCGGGGGAAAAAAGGGAGCCAGCCAAGCAAATCAATTACACTATCCACAGAATTCTGGGAATGATTGGCCAAATTCAAAATTAATTATTGCAGTCATCATCCGGCAATTGGCAGTGGACACTGGCTATGGGAGATCACAAGTCAAGCGCTAATCGAACAAAGGTCTCCACTGGCTGTCCACTGTATCAGCTTGATGGTCATAATTACGATTTCGAAAAACACGATGGCCAACAAAAGCAACAAAGGGGCAGCACACAAAAAACCTATTTATGCAAATTAACCCCATGTCGCTTGTGGCATTTTTGTGGTTTAGGGTTTCATTTTATTGTTTTTTTCTGTGTGATTCAATTTGCATATTATTAGGCATTTATGATAGCATTCATTGTGGAATTTGATATGCCCGTTCGATTCATTCATTCATTGATTGCCCAATCGAACCGGAGGCCCGGAGACGTCGATGCATACTTTCCGGCTTGTCAGCAATGCCAATTCCTGTCAAACTGTTTTCGCCGGTAATGAACTTAGCCCCAATGTCTGATGATCTGATGGCCTGATGTCTGATGTTTGATGTGTGATGGCCCTGCGGCGTTTGCCATCGAAATGCAATCAAGTTAATTACGGAAATATGCATTTTTCAAGCCAAACATGCACATGCAACTCCGTGATTGACGATAAATGCCCAATTAAGCCAATTACGAGCGGTTGGCCCGTGGCAACTTCGACCGGTTGTCGCGTGCAACATGTGTGGCAGCCATGGGCTCCAAACTACTTTGTAATAATTTGATTTAAGCTAAATTTATCAAATTGTTTTTCCTAATTGAGTGAGTTAAATGATGAACGATGGACGACCGCTCTGCTTGCATAGTGAACAATTTTCCGTTTGATTTGACCTCTAATTAGTTGGCCAGGCCAGCTGAACATACTTTTGGCAGGAGGAGGACACGCACGCAATTAATATAAACAGTTGCAGGACGGCTCTTCATGAAGTTCGCGCGGCACGCGAGTGCATTTGCATACCAATGCCAAACAACTCGTCCGCTGGCTGCCGTGCCTCTCTGGCATTTTGGCCCTGTTTTCAGAGGATCGCTGGCATGGGGCTGGTGCCACTTTATAGTGCATAAATTATTCAATGAACCGCATGCCAGGACGAGTCAGCGACGACAAAAGAAGCTCTGCTGTCAGTTATAATTTCACACGCGTAACAGTTGCCGTTGTCAGTAATGTTTGTGGTGGGGGCGAGCTTGAAAACGGTGCCAGCGGAGTTGCCAGGGGGTCTACACTGCAAAAAAAATTTAAAACAACAAACATGATAGAAATAAGAATATCCACAAAGAAAGATCTTGAAGTTTTCAAGTAAACAGAAGTGTATATTTTTATGCAGAAATATTACTTTTCCTGTTAAGAACTTATCCATATGTCTTGCATTCAAACAAATACAAATTTCTCTCGGTATAGAGCTCTTGGCTAACCCAGTTCTAAACTTATTTTCGCAGCGCTCTTTTGTGCGCGCGCGCATTTGAGCCGTAAGTTAGACACTTGTTAGGTCGACATCGCTGCCGATGACGGAACACTTTACACCCCTGAATAGTTAATACAAATTAGCTGGCCCCGGCCAATTACTTGGCAACAGCATTTGCATGCGTTGCGCTATGTAATTTTCGGGATCGAAGCGGGGAAGTTCCTATGCTGGCCTGGCTTTTTGCTCCCGGCCCTGGATTTGATTTCGGCCAAGAGCTTCGGCATTGGAAAGTTAACCTAGCCAAAACTTTTGCTGGTAATCTGTTTGGTTTCTTTGCCATTGTTGTTGTAGCTGTAGTTGTTGTTGTTGTTTGCTCGCCTGTTGTTGGCAAGTTGTGGCTCACCCAAGTTCCGGTTTCCGATTTCAAGACCTCTTTTTGTGCATGGCGGCATAAGAAATTCATGGTTTTGCACGTAGCCCTTGCGCCCACTTAAGTTGCTTTGCTTGTTTTCAGCTAAGTGGGCTGATGGCAACCAAATGCTCTCGTCTGGATTGGAAATCTTGATGTTCTTCTCCACTCAGTGCTGCCAGTTATTCATGAGGAGGATGCAAAATTTGATTTTGATGGAAGAAATCTGAAATTATCTTATATTGTTGTAGATTACGGCTTATGCGACGACTTTTAAAGCGCTAAAATGTTCGTGTTAATTTGTGGAGTTTACAAAGAAGCTTACCACAAACTTTCATAAGAATTTATGCTTTAGCCAAAGTTACTCCATTAATTATTAACTGAAACATGGCTATATTTGACGGGAAGTTAGGCACTTAGCAGCACTGTTTCCGATTCTGTTCTGGACTGCTGTGTCTATCATAAATTGCTAATAGGTTTTGTAGCCCTTAGCTTGTTTGCCAGCGTTGGTGAACGAAATTAGACTGCGGTTTCTGTGGCCCAGAGACACATAAATATTCCAAGACAGAGAGCAGAGAACAGAACAGAACGAAGCTACATGACTTATCAATTAATTAGGCGCATTTCTCAAATTATCGCCTTGGGCCTGCCGAGAAACCCAGAAGGCGGATTCGCATGTCAACGGCGAGTTAAGATACTATAATCCCGTAGTTTCTTTCGGGGGCAAAGCGGAATTTAAAGTGTCATGCCAGACAGCAGTTTCATAACTTCCACACACACATACATATACCATTCAAGGGAAGGAGGACAAAAAGGAGCAGGACCGAACACCGGGGCCCGCATTTCCGTCTGATTTGAATTGCTCGGCAAGTTTGTTATGTTTAGAACTCAAGCTTCCTGCCACGGGTGCTGATGCTGTTGTCTCGAGCTGTTTTGCCCTGTGATTCCTCCTCCTGCTGCCCGCTTTTCTCCACCGGTGGCAGCGTTTCCTGCGAAAAGTACGCTGCACAAGGAATTTTATTAAGACAACTGCAGCAGCAACATCAGCAGCAGAAGCGGGGCAAGTGGCTCTGTTGATGATGCCGGGGCTCCAGCTGCTGTCATCAGCCCGCTGGGCCATCAGATCTGGAGCTGTCGAAGGCTTATGCGGATGTTGTGCATTTGCTCCGAGTCCTGCTCCGCATTTGTTTGCTCTGCTGGCTTAGTTGGCTTACTACCCATGCTCCGAGCAGACAGTCTTTTGCTGCCTCACTGCCACTCGATATTGTTAAAGTTCTCCGGCAGAGCTTCCCATGGCCAATTGTTGCCCTTCATGCGTGCGAAAGCCACCAGTTCATGTAGCAAACAACAAAAAATATGAACATGGTGGAGCTGCTGTCTCATATCTTACACTTCCTTCTTCAAAGATATTATTTCCAAAACTTTTTTGTGCACTGATTCCATGTTATACCCAAAAACCTTGCTCTAAAAAAATGTAAATCAAATCATTTCGCGCTCAACAGCCCTAATATTTTCATAACTTTTCGGATTTTCGCTACCATCATGAGGCATTGCAAGCGCATCCAGATGTCGTTTTGTGTCCTCCCAATTTGCATGGAATTTGTCCATTTTCCCTACAGTTGCCAAGTGCTCTAGTCGCACAGAGGAGTCTGGGTGTACAGAAACACACATATAAACTCGTTCACATCGGAGGAGATTGAAAGAGAGGCAAACACTTCCATAGAATGCCAACTTTTTGCTGACACCTTGCTTTATCTGTACGAGTTCCTGCGGCATCCGTATCCTTCGTCTCAGACTCGCTGCACTTTAAGTCAAATATTATTTAAATACAATTCTGCTAAAATTCTATGGCATTTACTTCCCAATTTGCATAAGCAGGCAAGCTGCCAGCAAAGCAAGGACGACTGCTATGCAAATTGAATAATTGTTTAAATGAGACGGATGTGAACGCCATTCTCTCGCATTCAAGAACGATTTTGCCACAGATTTCGATACAACATTCGAGGATATGGGGACCGTAAACTAACACAGCTGACAATTGGTTTGCCAGCATTAAACTTTATGGCCTCGACATTATTTGCTCGAGAGTCTGCGGGTGTGTGTGAGTGTGTTTCAGGGAGAATGTTCAGGTAATTTCGCTGTCATTTTGAATTTGTAATAAAGCAACATGTCGCCACACATGAACAAGCCCCGAGTAATTACAGGGGACGGGATGTGGAAGCCCTAAAGCCACAAGACCGCTTTTCCGCAGAGCCAACTGTATGGGTTCATTTGTATGCCGTTCAGGCTTCTTATCAAATATGAAGCAAAGTCGTAAAAGCTAATTAGACTCACAATGTGCGATACGGCTGAATAATGCAAACTAATCAGGCCGTAATGCAGGCGAACCATTAGAAAGCCTTGCCAATCAGCAGAAAGGCAGGAAAAGTCTTACGCAGAAGCCCAATAATCTCTGAATTTTTTGGCCAAATCCGAACGAGCCTTCTGTCGCCATCCAGGGTCCCTCTTTTCCATTCACGGCTGTGAAGTTTGTTGTTCGGTTATCAATTACTCAGGGGCTTCGGTGGGAATGAAGACAGCTACGTCGTATCCATTCGTACGCTATTGTACGGGAATCAGATGTGCGTGCCCGGCATGTGGAAGCCCCCCCATCTCGACCACTTTTGCTCTCCCGGGCTTTTATTTTGCTTTTCACGTTTGCACACATCAATCATAAAATGCAAATATTTACGATTTTATTTGCGCGCAAATTGCCGGGCGCAGGCACATTAAACCCAGACTCCCGACACTCAATCGTGTCCGCTTTTTATTGCAGGAACAGCAACCGCAAGTACCGGCGTCACATAAACGAGAACGCCCTGGGCATCATCCGGAGCACCCTGAACAGCGGCGGCTTCGGTCCGCAGGCCCCCAACATGAACAAGGAGCTGGGCATCCCCTCCAACGCCGGACCCATGAACCAGCTGGCCGCCGGCTACCAGCGACCGCTCTCGCATCCCGGCGGCGGCAGCGGAGTAGCGGCAGCGGCGGCCGCCGTCACCGCCGCCCAGCAGGAGAAGGGCATGTTCAGCATCAGCCAGCTGAACATCGAGCTCACCGAGGAGCACGTGGGCAGCAACAGCCGCATGGAGATCACCTGTCTGTCCACCATTCCGGCGACAGTTGGCCAGGGCGAGCAGTACGCGGACTACAAGACGTACTCAGTGAAAGGTGAGTTAAAAAATGTTTAAAATCTTATGTAAGTTTAAAATTAAATGAAACTGATATAATTATTTGATGAGTAAAAAAGGAAACAAAGAGTAATTTCACACTTTAACGATATTTGAATTTAATTAGATAATGATTGGAAAAATAAATAAAACCAAGAAAGGAAGCTAGCTTCAGCGAGCGGAAATGTAATTGATTAGTTGCCAATTTTGGTAAAAATCACTATATTTTTTTAGTGGTTTTTCGGTTGTAACCAAGTCAAAAAATGATTTACAGCGAAACCAAACACTGTTTTGAGCACCTTATGACCAAAGTTAACGAGCCCTATAACTTTTTAGACGATGAACAAAGAAATGATTTTTGGACAATTTTCGCATTTTTGGTAAGGGGGTAATATCATCATTTTTTGCGAAAAATTTCAAAATTTTAACATTTTTAGGTGTGAATATCATCCGATTTAAAATTTTATAACGAATTCAACGATGTATTCCATTCCACATTTGGAAGAGTACTTATCCAGATATTGCTAAAATAAACTGGGGTTTTCGACTTAACTTACAGCCAAACAAAGTATAGTTTTGGAAAACAGAGAATCCCAAACTTGCAAATTTCTGACTGAAATGTAAATACCTTCTGCAAGGGTATAAAAAGGGTAATTTACCTAATAAAAAAGATCAACGATTCCCGAATTTAATATGTTTTTTTTTTTCACCCACACGCATGATTTGCATAAATCTACAGACTACATTGTGTTCGTACATTTGTGTGCATATACACTTTATTTATTTTATGCCGTGTAATGCTATGCAGGGTAAATATTTGTTTCGGGACATATACGCGCCTTAAATTACGACCAGTGAGCTCATCAAAAGGTCCTCCGCGCCACGAAATTATGAAATGGAAGATAGAATCACGGATGAGTTTTCACAAAATAAATTAGTATGATAATGTGCGCGCAGGCATTGTTATTTGGCCGACTGTCAGAGAACCAAAACGAACGAAGAATTTTAAACAAAAGCCATCGGTGCCTTTGTCTCAGCTGGCAGATTGGGTATTTCGTCCTTGGATTTGTTTGCCTAAAAAGGGGGTGTCATGTGTTGGCCGTTTTGTCTACGTTTAATTTCCATTTACTTGGAGAGTGGAGAGCAGGCCAAACAAAGGTTAATTTATATATGTATTTGCCGGCTTTGTTTGCCTACGAGCCGGTTGTTAACACTAACGTCCCAGCCAAGTCGTTGAGCCGCTGTTGTAAATTGTCCTGAATTGTACGAAATAATTTACACATTACCAGGCCCATGACTCACGATGGTCGTTGGCCGACTTCCTTTCCCTTGGCCGCCGGCACTTTCGCTGTCTTTCGACCTCTTTGCCGGCCGAGTGGCTGCCAACTGTCACTTGAACCAAGGGGCGTATGCGTGTTATTTATGTTGCGTGAAGTGCGTCATTTATTTGGGCCACTTCGCAGCCGAGAATGCTCCGCTCTGTAATTGTTTCTTATGCCGCCCTGAGGGGCTGCCATCAGTTTGCTTATGCGAAAACTTTTTAGCGTCGAGGACTTCTGCCACTTTTGGCCAGATCAACGTGGCGACCTTTTCTCTGCGGTTTCGTGCCTCGTTCTCGGCGGTAAACCATTTTTGGCTAGATAACTTGCGGGACTTATCACAGCTCTGAATTATTCATCTACCAATGGAAACTTTGCTTTCAAAATTGATTTTCCCGCTCCATCCTTGACCTCTTGTTTTGTCAATGTTATTTTTGATTCTAATGCCACTGTGTTTGTTCAATTAGTTTTGACTGCTTTGGGGTATTTATAAGGAGCTTAAGTAGATTCGAATATAATGAAAATTGCGGTTTTAAAGATAAATATTGAATGAATAATATTCATTTCCGTATTGATTGTAGAAAACTATTAATTGTATCCGCTTGACCTTTCGTATTTCTCAGATATTTCTGTTCACAAATAACAGCAGATTGCTTTCCCCTTCAACAAATCTATGCATTGTTAATCTCATACTAAAGGAAATGTTTTTTTTTCTTTGCTATTTCCAGTTGAGGTCGATCGACAACAGGCCTCCTCCACGTCAACAGCCCCGCCGAGCATCGGAATGGCGGCGCTGGGCAATGGAAACGGGCACGGCAACGAAACCTCCGCAGGACGAAGGACTCACGGCGCAGTGGTGACGCACATGTGGTCGCTGGCGCAGCTTCTGCTGCTCGTCCTCCTGCCCCTCAGCTATTAAAGGGGAGCAGGACAATCAACCGGGACACGCTGGAGAGAAGAGGAGAGGAGAAGACCACCGACATACTCGCACAGAAGGTATAGTTAAAGCGAAATCAAGGGCAACCACATCATCACCATCCCATCAAGGACAAAAGCAGCAGCACGAGCCGCAGCATCGGAAAAACCAAGTTGAATTTTTGTAAATTGTACACCAAATTTTTAATCTGTTTCCCCGGCATAAGCTCAATCGAGCAGCTAAATTAGTGCAGCTCAAAAAGGGCAGAGCAAACAAAAAAAAAAAACGAACAGAACAATGGACTTAGAGAACATTTTTAGCATTTGTGCTCGCCTTGGTCGGCTAATTTAAATAGTTTACTTGTAAATAACTGCAGATGACCGAGGAAAGCGGGCGTGGATTTTCTTTTTTTTGTGTGGCCGCAAAGCCAAAGAGAAATGTTTGTAATTAAGTTGCAGTCGGACGGGAACTGTGCGAATGTTTTTCAGTCCGGCCAGCGGCCATTTTTTGTAGTGCAAAGAGAATTTTGTATAGCTAATTGAACATAAGTTTCGGGAGGGGCGACTGCAACTCAGAACAAAGAACAAAGAAACCAGCTTTTTGCGCTCTCTCCAAGGTCAGTGCGCCAAGGCCGTGGTGCTCCGCCCACAGACTTTCCTTTTGCTGGCCTTGTCAGAAGTTTGGGCCAAGGCCCGTCCCAACGAAATCCAAATCCAAACAGCCAGAATTGATTGGGGCTAAGTTTTTAGGCGTTTCAAAGCAGTCGCTACGAAGCTAGTACCTAAAATGCATGATCAACGTGCAGTAGCAAACAAAAACGAATAACAAAAACACAAACACACTCAAAGGAAACATATTTTTTACGGTATTGTAGCGCTTGGGCTAGTCGAGGATAGGGATGTGGCTAACAGAGGGTAGGCTAAGATTAGGGCAATTGAATTTAAGCGCCAGCAGCAGCAGCAGCAGCAAGAAGTTAAATACGAGTACCGTACTCCGTACCCCTGAATCCCCGAACCCGTATTCGTACGAACGTACCCCTGGAAATAAAACGTTTAAATGTAAAATAATTAGACAGTTAAACCAAGAAGCTTACAGAAACAATCAGTGTTGAAAACATTTTGAGAAAACCAAAAGAAAACAAAGGAAGGCGGAGCGAAAAATAGCACGCAGAACCCAAGGAAAAGGCGTCGAAAAGGACGCAGTCTGCGGCGCGTGGTGACCCCGAAAATGGGAAAGGGTCATCGCCGGAGGGATGGGGCCGTAATGGGTTACCCCCGACCTTAAACTCCGGACTCCGGACTCCGAACTCCGGACTCCGCTTTACATTACGACGCTTACTCATTTGTTTTCATTTGGACCCTTTATTTTCGGTTCGTTGTGTGTAAATGGTTATAGTTGCAATGGAACGTTTAGTGTGTAGTTAGGAAAATATTTGCCGTTGCGATTAATTGTTTTCGTTATGGTTTTTTATTTTATTTTTTGGGACCGTTAAGGAGTGCTTAAAACTAAGTACGGATGCATTTTGTGTGTATTTAGGAGGATTACTTTCAAGCGCGCTTTAAGTGTCTATGGCTAAAGAACCATTTTAAACACGTAGCATAACAATGTAACTATGTAAAGCAAAACGATAGCAACCACGGACAACCCGGCAAAGTAAATATATGTAAAGCAATTAGTGGACTAGTCTATACTCTCTAAAACAAATATTAAAAATGAGCGTCTGTAATGTGTGTAATTAGGCTTCTATTTTTGACTTCTACTCGACGGCGAAATGCAAAACCAAACATAAATTTAGTAATACAACTAAGCCTGCGATGTTCTCCTACAGTTTGAACAAGCGAACCCAGTTGAGGCGAACCATTAACAATTAACAGATAACAATTACAATTTTCCAAGGGTTGTCCTCATTGTGAGTACACGTAATTTGTTAGCCAGTTAAAGCTAATGAGTATACCAACCGGATAATGCTTGAACGAACTACAACCATTTTTTATAAAAGAAATATACTTAATTATGATAACGGTGACATCACGTATAAATAAATGAAAACAAAGTTCATATTATGTATGAAAATATGGCTAAAATGTCTTATGCAGGTATTGACGTCTTCCTATGCTACGCTGTCTATTATTAACAGAAAAAAATTGATTACATTTATAAATTATACATTACGAATAGGTGAGCATGCAAATTTACTGATTGCATACACTAAGAACTAAATAAAAAATGAAAAACAAAGGAAAAAAGATATTAACACTTTTACACAAAAAAATGAAAATGCTTTAAAGTTATACGATAATTTATTCCTGTTTTAATTTCGATCTATGGACTTTATAGTTTAAGAGATGTTATGATTATCGTATGCTAATTTCCACCATTTTTCCATTTTGAATAATTTGATTTATGTGAATTATTATGGGGACTCTTTCCCAGTTAGTTATGCGTTTGTGAATCACTCGTACTAGTAAATGTTTCCCACCAATCTATGAAAAGTGCAAATCCCTCGACGCATCTCACTCACCTAAACATTCACAGTTTTCCCTGAAAATCCCCCTGGATGTCATACACCCTCTTCTCCTCTATTTGTCTGTATAAATATGCAAACTGCGTGTTGTCTACAATTCTGTCGTCTGTTGTGTCAGCATAAATCTGCATGAATGTGCATAATTGGCCAAAGACCTGGAGTCACTTAGCCCAGTTGTGTTGCTAATTATGCACCATGCACTCTCTATCGAGCATATAAATCTGTGTATCTGTGTAAAAACTCTATATAGGTGTCCAGTGGAAATGAAACACAAAAGGGATGGTATTTATATAGATCAGATAAGAGTACATTAAGTGTCGCAGCAATTCGCAAAACATATCATAAATGTTGTAACATTTTCGGATCCCAAGACGAGAGCCCAACCTCTCAGGTCGGAAGCCAATTAACATTTTTCATGCTTAGCATATGGTATTAATGCCGTTTATTTATAATTGTCTATCGAGGCTCCTCCAACCGACAAAAAATGAATATTGAATGGGTGTTAAACAAACTGAGATTTGTATTCATGGTGGCAAAGAAATGGCATTATAATGGAATGGGATCGCATGATATACCGTGCGCACAAACACAAACATTATATTTAAATGTTGTATTTTGATAAGTCGAAAGTATTACGATGTCGGATTACTAGACAAATGCGTTTTGTCCGGAAATCTGCCGTGCGGCAACCTTTATCATTTCTCTCACATCAAAATCTTCCAATCACACATATCATTGCGTATTGAACAAAAACATGAAATTATACAAAATATATATTGAAATTATGTATACAAGAAAACATAAAGAAAACCCGTAAAAGGTGTATAAAAGATATATTTATAGAGAAGAGACATGTTTATTAATTTTGAACACTTACACCACAAAAAGCTTTAACTTTTTTGGTTCCCATTGTTTATCGAACATAAACATAATCGCACGCACATATTAACACAGTGGATTTGTGTGTAAAATATTTGATATTGACTTCAGTCTAATTTGAATTTCCCTGATTTGTATTGTATAAAATGTTTTACGGTCTAAGAAATTGTCTAGATAAAATAGCGTTATTGAGGCTACTATTATTAACTGAATATTGGATAAACCCACACAAATTGAACCCGATAAACGTAACGTAAATATTTATTTATAGATACAGACATACCAAGCGAGCGATACAATTGTAAAAATTGCAACCTATGCAAGTCAAACGCGAAATAAGTGTGGGATATGTGTACCATTATTAAACTAAGCCACGAATATTATAATGTACACTGTCGAGCTGAGCAGCAGAGAGAATTAAGTGTAAAGTTTAAAGTGTAAATTAACAAACGAAGAACAACAATTACGATTACAACTCAACCCAAATTATGGCGCCTACTGCTTGGCCAATCTACTACACTGAAAGGGATATACAGCATATTAAATATACATACAGAAATACGAATATTTGTGGTAAAGAGAACGAACTAAAAAATAAATGTTGAAAACAAAGGGCCAAAAGCGTTTCATTCAAGGACCAGTTAAGGAGCACACGCCCCTCAGAGGAGGCCGAGCAAACAAAGAACCCAAAAACCAAGAACCAAAAAAATGGCAAATGTAGAAAAACACAACGAAGTGGCAGCCACACAAAAGGGGAGGATAAGATGGGATTTTCGGGAGGGACGAGCGACAGGATTTTGCGGCCGAGGAGCCCACAAGTGCGTTAAACAAACTTGCGTAACTTTCCGTTTGACGAATATCCTTTTAATCCTTTTAAATGTGCAGGGAAATTGAAGGAGCCCAGGCAAAGGACACATAAGGTCAGAAGTCCCAACCAAATTGCAGGGGGGAGCGGGTGCAAATGGCCTGCAATAATCAACGAAAGGATAAACTACCGACCAAATGGCGAGTCAAGGGCATCTCGGCCCTAAAACTGATCCGGCGAACAAAGCCCCAAGACACAATGTCCGACTATTTCTTCGTCCTGCCTGCGTCTTCGTCCGTCCCAGGACACCGCAAAAGGTGCAACGAGTCGGGCTGCCTCATTACGGAATCAAAGCCCTGTTCACATCGAAGGGGCATGGATGGATGTGTGTCTGGTGACAGATGCGAGCTATCGATTGCGAATTTGTGTGACAGGCAGTCAGGATATCCAGGATACACAGGACAGTTGGGGGAAACGACAACATTGCATGGAAATGAGCAATTAACGCCTGGGACATCGTTAGGCCGGACCAATCTGTCCGATCGACGAATCAACAGATTTTCTCTGTGTCTCTGTGTAGCCATCAAAAGGGTTTACGAACTCCCTCCTCCTTGATTAAGGTATAAATATTAAATTAGCAGGACTGGCATGATACTCCTGCTCCTGATACTGCCTTTGCTTTTGCTTTTCCTTTTGCTGTTGCTGTTGCCTCTGCCTCTGCTGTTGCTGCTGCTTTTGTCGCTAATGAGGCATGGCCATGGCAAGTGAAGGAGTCAGACAGGATGTGGTTTGTTAAGAGGCTCGTTCGCTGCTTAATTATACATGGCAGCGCCCAAAAGTCGACTAATTAATATGCAGCAGTCGAGCAGTGCGGAGAGTGGCCCGGTTAATGAGCCAAAACTCGCAGCGTGTGTGCCAAGTTTCGACAGCCAAGTAAAGCGTTCGCCGGCTTGTGTGCAAACAGCCGGGGGAACGATGCCGATGCCGACCAAATAACTCAATTTTCATAGAGTGGCCGGGCCCGTGAGCTCCCGGGAAACACCAATAAACAGTTTTTCGCAACAAATCCAAACTATTCCGCAGCAACCGCCGCAGCAGCAGCAGCAGTGGCAATAGCAATAGCAGCAGTAACAGTAACAGCAAAAGCAGCAGCAGCGACAGGCGAAGTAAAACTTTTTGACAGCGACAACATGGCGTACAACTGCCAACTGCAAGTGCACTTGGGTGTGGCCCCACCGAGCCGTCGACTCGCATTTTGGCCCAGGCCCATTGCCACCTGCATGGACGAGTGGTGCGCTTGCCAAATTAACAAAAGCGGGCAACTTTGTAGTCCTCGCTTTGGGCAAAAACAATGAAGTCGGCAGAACTGTCTCGAGCACATTTCAATTTGTGCTTGCCGAACAAAGTTGCCGCCTGCATGCGGACAAATGTCAAAATATTTAGTTGTACAGCGAAACTTTCCCACCGGAAATTGAAAAGAAATATTGGTTAACCCGTGGGACCGAAAGCAAATGCCCCGATTCTGCCAGCATCGCCAGAAGTTTCGCGCAGCGAATTATATCAGGATAAAGGAGAGTGTGTGTGTGTATGTGTGTTAAGGGCTGTTGCATTGTTTGCCTGCGATTCGGCGGCGAGTTGCTGAGTTTTTTGCCCACCGCAGCTGTCAGCCGACGAGATTGAAAGCGGCGTTGTATTCGCAAATGTTTCCATAAAAGCAACGATTTTAATTTGCTTTTCCCTTGGCTCTAGCAAAAAAAAAATGGTTTTAATCTGGCCCAGAAAAGGGGTCCGCTGAAGAAGCTTTTGAAGCACTTCAGTGAAAACAGCCAAGCCTAAAAGCACACTACGTTTTTACGCATCCTCGCTGCCTGTAAGTCACCGGGGCGTATACGCAACTTGCTCGCCACTTTCGGAGCCTTGAACTTGTTGACTCAACTCTGTCATTAATGCATTACCATACTCTTAAAATAAGGTAAGCTTGTTTTTGAACATGGCTTGTAAGTTAGAGGGTTTTTGTCTCGCAGGAACTTTCGTTTCAAACGGACATGACCTTATAATAAATGAATAGTATATCTTGACTTAATTTAAGCTTAACTAAAACTAAATTTCTTTCTTTTTTGAAAGTTATTAAATACCCTCAAGACTTCAGTTCAACTTTTTACATGAAACTATCACAATTCTCTTAATGTACTCTAGCCAATTCGTTCATTTATTTCTGTCAGTAATTTAAACCACTCAAGAGTACAAGTTGAAAACTTTAAATGTAGTTGAACAAATTTCCGCCGTTAAGCCAACACAAATGTTATAAATGCATGCATATTATAAATTCCCCTTTGTGGGTCCTCTGAAGGGTGTCTTCCCTTCGTCCTGCCAAAGCCTTTCAGCTTTTAGCTTTGTGGAGGGGGAAAAAAAAAACGCAGATATCTCTGGGCGTCAAAAGGAGAGCTTTGCACCGGCGACCCTTGAGAGTGCCGTGAATGTCGTTTTAATAATTTATTTTGTGCGCACAGCGGGCTGCTCATTAACACACATACACACGCACACACACTCGCTCACCCCGGAGCCTTCGCACCCACACTCGCAGATGAGCTGGCCCACACGCACAGGACACGCACTTGGCAGCCTCGTCGTCGATTCGGTCGGCTGGCTGCTGCTGCATATCACCTTAATTACAGGCAGCAGTCTGCGCGCAGTCAGACGGCAAATGGCAGACAAGCTAACAGCGTTTATGGTGGCCCAAATTGCCATTCCCCCCGCAGTCCCTTTAGCCCATACCCGTGCCCTTAAGCCATCGTAGCATATTGTCGCTGTCGTTACGCTTTAGCGATTCGCCACTGTGGCTCACAGAAGAAAGGGCAACGGATTCAGTTTGCACTCGACTGCTGATAAGCGTGCGATTCCTGCAGGGCTCAAACGCACTCATGAACACACACACATAGACACCCACCACACACTCGAAAACAGGAACACACACACATCCTGATGGCCATGAATACATGCACCGTTGAGTTGCGTTTATATCGGGCTTATGTTACGTCTAAGTGAAATTTAAGGACTCCACTCAACAGCACACCAAATCCTCGGCATAGTTCATGTCGACCCGGTGGTTTCGGGCCATGTGTGCTACCATTTCGCATGATGAGTTTGCCTTGCACGGAAGCAGGAAGCCATCAAAGCACACATCTGCTCACACCCGCAAAAAGGATACACAATCATACTCAATGAGTGTCGTCAGCTGGCAGGACACAGATCAGGGCCAGGACACAGACTGGAGGCAGCTTTCACCTGCAACAGGACGTTGCCACTTATACAGACCGCAACTAGCAGAGGTCTCGCAGTAATAACCACTAGTGATGTGAGAAATCAAGGTGGTTTCGCCTGTCAACCAGCTTGGATTGTTAGCAATATGCTGGTTTAGTCAATTTTACAACAATAACTTAACACAAAGTATGAAATTGCAGTAGCTAATAATTTTGAGAATATTAATTAAGTTATACCTTTAAGTAGGTCGTTTAAAATTCCATGCAATTTTCTCACATTGTTTTTCTGAACATAGCTAAACCTGTTAAATTTCTTGCCTCACAGCTATGAATTTTTTGTGGATTATGCCCGGCAGCTAACCCAGTTTCCCATCACTAAGCGACACTCATTCTAGGCAGGCTCACAAAGAGTGGACGGGAACTCGAAACGGGCCCGGACCGGGCCATTGTGCAACCACTTCATTTCGATTCTAATAACTCCAATTACAAATGGCGGATGGGATAAAAGCGTTGTGCATATGCTGGGTATCCCTCGAGTGTGTGGGTTCGCCTCCACTTCCCCTCGAGGCAATATGAGTGGGCGGCGTGTGGGTGGCTCAACTTGTTGCTGGACTTTATGACATGCCAGCCGCTTTATCCAGGCTATTATTTCTGGGATTTTATGTGAAAGGACAACGCACGAGTGCGCAGGCAGCAGGCAGCAGGCAGACGACAAAGCCAATGTCGGGATTTGCCCGGCAAACGAATGCCGCACAACGGAAAGGTTCGGTTGCGCAGCGTAGAATTGGCCGAATCCTGCAATTAGGCTGCAAATGAGTTTTCCAGTTCACATCGGGAATTTGTCAGCAAAGCAAATTTTATTCCTCTACATGGATACTTAATGGCTAGTTAAATTGCACGTGATGGGAGTGGGCGGTTGTTTTCGATGCGATTGTTTAGGAAACGTTACCGTTGGACGACTTCCACTCGAGTGGGTTTACTTGAGGCGGAAGCGGCGCAGAGTGGGTGGCAGGTAATCCTGGCCAGCGACCACATTGGCGGGCAGGTACTCCGAGCTGGGGGCTGGGGCAGAGCTGGCCTGGACTGGGGCAGCCTGGGCAGCGGGAGAGGCGAAGTTCAGGACTGGCGCACTGCCCTCGTTGGAAATGCGGGACACTCCGGGCAGCTGGTTGTACTGGTTCTGGATGGCCAGCTGGGCATTGGCGGCATCCTCGGGAGTGCGGTACTTGACGAAGTGCACCTCCGGCTTGTTGACCGAGCTGGTCTTCAGGGCATTCAGCTGCTTGGCCAGGTTGCTCACGTCGGACTGCTTGGTCAGCACGTAGATGGCGGTCTCCTGCTGGGCGGACTGCTTGGCCAACTGGAGGGCGGCCTGCTCGAAGCCCCTGTTCTCGGGCGCACGGATGAAGACCACGCGGAGGTTCTTCTTCAGCGAGCTGGCGATCTGCTGGTTGTTGGCTCCGTCATCGAACTGCTCCTCGGGGGCGGCGTAGCTGTAGAACTCCTTCTGGAACTCCTCGACCAAGGGAGCAATCTGGGGAGCAACTGGAGCCGGAGCGGGGGCCAAAACGGGAGCATCGATGGGCTGGGAGAGCACCGCCTCGCCGCTCTGCACGGGCTGCAACAACTGCTGCTGCGGCAGCTCGCCAATCACCTGGCCACCTTGAGCAGCTCCTGGCAAGAAGGACAGAGCCTCATCGGCATGGGCCACCGGCTGGTAGTTGTAGCCCAGCTTATCGGCACTGCAGCTGGCAGCGAACAGGCAGAGGAGCTAAAAGATTTGGACATAAATAAAGATGCCACTCGAAGCAAAGCCAAATCCCCAAAAGACTTACGATAAAGGCGCGCATGATGACAGGTAGCTGTGTACAATTGGAGCTGATAGGTGAAACTAATACTGAAATTTCAACCAATTCGGTCTTTTATAGTCCAAAACAAGGCACTGCACTCACCCCTCCCACGAAAAAGCCCCAATCTTAATCCAAAAGAGAGAGATCCACTGTTTAGGAACGACCTTGCCATCGCAGCGCTGTTGATTTGATTTCGATGCTATTCGATCGTCATTAAAATGCCCCATCGTTTAAATATGCAAGCGTATTCCGTATTCCCCGACCTAGGCCTATCGCTCCCCAGCGATCGTTTGTCTTGGCTCTGATTTAAATGCACTCTACGGTGGTTATAAATATGCATGGCCTATCAGGGACTACGATTGCGAATGCTGCTGCCACATTATTTAATTGATTTGTGTTGGCCGCGACAGCCCATAAAAAATGCGGACTGGATAATGCCAATGGAGTGGCCAAAACGGCAGCCACTGTGTTGAAACGCTCGGGGAATAAACAGCTACTGGCTTTGTTGATAATATCTGGCGGTCGGCGGTCACCAGTCGCCAGTTGCCACTCGATGCTCCGGGTTGGCCAGCTTAAGCCGGTAATTATAATTTTCATAATTTTCCACAAGCTCGCGCTTTTCACGGCGGCAAGGGTCGCCAACGTCAATCTTTTTCGACGGTTCCGTTAATGAAGTTCTTTAACTAATTTAAACTTTTTCGGCATCGTTTGATGGCCAAGGCAAAATAAGAATTTAAATTGGGAATAACAGCTGTGTGGGTCGCTGGTTTCCAAAGAAATATGTGAGAGAAAGGCATAATTAAAATGTACTTTGGCAATTCTTTAATCTACAATTGAGCAGTCTAATACGCAGTTTGTTGTCTTGGTAAATAGATTAAAGTATTATAGTTTGAATGAAAATGATTTCAAAAGCCTTAAGTTATAATACGTTTATTTCTTTAACCTAGTTAATATAAACAATATCCGGTGGAAATATTTCTTCTCCTACGAAAAGTAGGGCACATTTCCTAGCGTAAGCCTCAAAGATGACTCCCTCCCAGAATTTGGCCACTCATGCTGGCTATTAGCTGCTGGGCCCGCTGCACAGCGAAAGTCTTGGCAAAGTTGGGGGGCCAACAAAAGCAAAAGCAGCGCCAAACTGCGCCTAATTTGGAGATGGCAAGCCAAACAAGCCAAGAGCCCCGAAAACGAAGAAAAGATTGGAAGACACGCAAACTTGGCAGCTGCTGGATGGAATCCGAGACTTGGACCTTGGGCACACCTGTCCCGAAATTGCAGCAAGTCATGAGCAGCCTTTGGCGAGGAGCAGGATTAAAGCGCTTGGCGCCATGCAACTTAGTGGGGATACCGCGAAATAAAAAAGACACCAGATGGGCGGAGTGAGGTAAATCGAGAGGGGAGGGGCGTGGCAAAGGGGCGGAGGGTCGAGGGTGAAGTGCGGAGGTTGGAGGAGGGCCGAAAGTGAGAGCGGCAGCTTTGACGTGACTGGCAAAGTTTTTGGCAGGCACCGCTAACGAGCGACTCTCGTCCTGTGAAACCCAGGATCTCGTGTTGCTCTAAAATGCTTAAACTAAAACTTGCTCAACAGATTTGCACTGGCGGGAGCCTTTTTACGGCTGCACTCCGGCGTGTCATATGGCACTGGAGCTGGCACTGGCACTGGCACTGGCAGTGGCAGTAGAGGCATAAGTGTGTGTTTGACCTTTGACACTAAAACAATTTGCAAAGCGAAATGATGTCAGCCACGGTGTCCCCTGTTCCCGTTCCTCAGCTTCCTCCTTCTGCTCCTTGATGTCTGCGTAGTGGCGTAATTTTGTTGAAACATTCTTAAAGTAGAGCCTGTCGTAAAGTCCTGGCAGGAGAGTCGTCCTGCGGGAGGAGGGAGGATACTCCGCGTGTAGCTCATTAAAAAGTTTTTCAGCGACAAGGGCGACGGCGACATTTGCTTAAGAAAACATTTGCTGGAACGGGACTCGGTTAGCAACACCTTAATGTTTATCTAAGAGATACTTTGAAGATAATACACAAAGTGTGGGCTAAAAACTCAAAAGTAAAATGTTACGCTCTTAGGCCGAGTAATTAATTATTCATAATAGCAAGCTATAGATAAACAACCTCCATCGACCAGCTCTCCAGCCGCGCCATAACAACTAAATGTTTTTTGATTGAAATTTAAATTAATTTTGTTTGCAAGTACTCAACATTCCAAGTACTTTGAGTTATTTATGAGCCCAGCTAATTTTTTGCGTATTTGCTTTATTAAGCTGTGTTAATAATAGCGCAGGATTATTTCAACAGTATCTTTGAAATTGAAACTGCCAATTAATTACTCCAATTTGAACTGCTTCTTTTGATTGCTGAACGAGGAACTGAATACAATTAAAAATTATTCAAATAATATCAGCCGGCGTGATAAATTATTCCCAAAAGCATATTCCGTTTTATTTTTCAGTGGCGCAATAAATAACCAAAAAGTTTCCACAACACTAGTGAATTTATTTATGAATAAGATGTGAATGGACACTTTGAATGATTTTTACTACGTATTTTAATTTAATTTACCATTAAGCAGTCTTTGGCACTAGCCTCGAATTTGAAGGTTGACTATCGACGTTTTCCCGGTGGCAGATATTCCCGGAAAAGCGCTTGCAACTTTGCGGTTTCCAATTCGCTGGCTTGTTCGTGAGTCTCGTATTCAGTGCTATCTTTTGGACGGATTTTGAAGATCACAGGTGGTTCAGTTGGCTGGGGATTTAGATGGATAACTTCCGCTTTTTCTACCGCATGGTTTATACTATTTCCCGGCAGCCGATCGTAGTTGCTTCTCAGAGCACTTAAAGCTCTGGTTACATCCGCTGGAGTTCTGTATTTCACAAAGTGCACTGATGGTTTTTCAGTTGCCTGCTGCTGAATGGCAGCTTGTTGTTTGGCCAGAGCATCTGCATCCGCCTGGCGATGGAGCACAAAGATGTCCAGCGGATTATTGACCGCCAGTTGTTTGGCCGTCAGTGTGAAGAGATTCGTCTCGGGAGTGCGGATGAAAACCACTTGTTGTGGAGGAGAAAGCACCTGGGCCAATTGCCTGGCTGATTGTAATGGAACAGTCTGATCATCTTCTGGTGGAGCTGCATAGGTGAAGTACTCTGTGGCCAGTTTACCGCCCGTTGCCAGTTCATTTCCAGCTGGCAAGTAGACATTACCCGAACCATGAGTAAAGCCTAAAAACATGCAGAGAAACTGCGAGAAAATCTGTTAATCTAGAGATAAAAGCACTTTCCTGCCATAAGCTTACCGTCAAGGAGTGCATGACTGTGATATTCCGCGCCAGCTGACTTTTGGCCATTTTTACCGCTCGAAGCGCCGCACGGTTATAATCCAGTCCCAGCAACAAAACCATCCTTATATACGACACAAACAAATAGATGTCCGAAAGTGAGCTGACTTCTCGGCCGCCGCGTATCTCGTTATGATTTTATTTTATTTCGCTTCTTCGCATTTGTTTTTCTATAAAAGATTTCTGCAAACGTTTGCTATGGTTTTGTGTGTTCGCCTGCTCCGATTATCCATGTTAATGTCGTTCAATTTTGAAATGCAAATTTCTGGGCTTGCAAGACCCCATGACAAAAGCCAAATCCGTACGCAGAAGTGTGGTTGTGCGTTTGACCCGAGCCCGGTATGAACTTGAATTTAATTCGCATAAAATTTACAAATGAGCTCCCAATTTGAATTAGTTATAAAATATTTTCATATGCCATCGTGGCCCTATTGTTGTCGCCTGTCATAGCCAAAGCCATTTGTTTTGACTCTTTTGGCTTTGGCCCCTGCGGATTACACCTCCGCAGCTCTACTTTCACTCGCCAGGTATTTTTACGGCCGACTTTTTATGGCTACTGATTTGTTAATTTACACGTCATTTTGATTTTTTGCTCGGCTCTTCTTTGGCCTAGGCTCGCATCTGCGATAAGCTGCTTACCGAAATTAACAACTCCGGCTAAGATCTGGCTGAGTAGAAGAAACACAGAAGCACACAGCTGGCCATTCATTGATGTATCTTGGGCTTTATTTGCAGCTACAACTAGTCACCCGTTGGGGCAGTCTTATGGCACTAATTTTATGTCTTAATTAGGTGGTAGGCCTCTAAAGCCTCAGGCGTTTACCTGGCTTCGAAGTGAGGTACGATTTTGAGGATCGCACTTCCGTGGGAAATACCATTCGACTGCCCCTGTGTCGTTCGTTGGCCAGGAAATCATAGCGCCTCGATCTGGCAGATCGGAAGTCCACGTTGGCACTGTTGTAGCTGGCCGACAGATCCTGTTGAGCCTCAGGAACAGGTGGCAGATCGATTTGGCCAATGGAAGAGGCTCCAGCCGAAGCTCCAGCCGCATTGTAGCCCTCTGAAATCGAGGAGTAACTGGGCAAGGGCGGCAAGTAACCAGATTGTGGCTGATATGAAGATTGCTGAGCTGGGGGGAGATAGGTAGATTGGGGAGCTGGATACTCGCCAGGACGAGTGTCCTGCTCGTACTGCGGCCGCTGCTCCGGATAGTAGCCCAAGGAGGATGCCTGTGAAGGTTGGGCCACCGAAGGACCTCCGCCGTACTGCGCCTGAATGTACTGCTGAGCTTGAGCCGCTTCCGCCTCCGTCCTGTATTTAACAAAATGAACCTGCGGCTTGTGTTTGTGGTGCGCCTTCAAGGCGCCAATTTCGCTTGCCAGTTCGTTGGCATCCGTCTGCTTGTTGAGCACGTAAATGGCCGTCTTATCCTCGCTGGTTTGCTTGGCCAAGGCGTTAAGGGCGCCCACCACTGCCTTGTTTTCGGGAGCCTTAATAAACACCACCTGGAGGTTTTTCTGCGAAAGCGATGCCAGCTTGTTCTCCACTAAGTCAGCTTCCTCCACGGAATCGTAGGGAGCCTCGAAGGCATAGAAATGCTTGTGGAATTCCGCATTTTCCTGGTAGTGATTCCCAGCCTGCGCGGGATACCTTTCCTCACCCGCGGGAACTTCGTTTCCATAGCTATTCACAGCTCCTTCTCCATAGCTGTTCTGCTGGTACTGGTAACCCAATTCCGCAGAACTGACAGCCAACAAAGCTAAAAACTAGGACAAACTTTATTAGCGAATGCCAGATTTGCAAAATTAAAGGTTAACTTACCACTATTCCCAGCATGATATAACCACTGCGAAGAGCAAAAAACATTTGTCCGACGATCGCAAGCGGTCAAAGCATTTTATAATTTCCTGCCCTCGAAAGTGGTCGACTAACAGCAACCAAATCGGGACAACCACCCGCCATATACGGTATATAGTTCAATGTCGACCGCAATTCGGGTTACAAAATTCGCGATTCCCCCAAAAAGATTACAAAAGTTTTATATTAACAATATTTTATTGTGGAGACATCTCGAAATTCGAAAGATTTACGAACTAGGCAACATGGATCGCAGCGGAGTGCGTAGGAATCGTTGATGGGTCATGGGTCAGTCTGGGTCAGTTTGAGGTCAGTTTAAGTTCGAATTGAGGTCACATTACTGCTAGCTTATTGGCGGAATCGCAGGACGGAGGCGGGCAGGTAGGAGCTGCCAGGAGCAGAAGGAGCAGCTACGTGCTGAGGAGCTGGCTGAGAGGCGAAGTTCAGGACGGGAGCCACGCCTCCGTTCTGGATGGTCGAGGATCCACCGAGCTGGTCGTACTGCGACTGGATGGCCTGCTGGGCGTTGATGGCGTCCTGGTTGGTGCGGTACTTGACGAAGTGAACCTCAGGCTTGTTGTTGTTGTTGTTGCGGATGGCGTTCAACTTGTTGCTCAGATCGCCGATGTCAGCCTGCTTGTTCAGGACATAGATGGCGGTCTCCTGCTGTCCGGCCTGCTTGGCCAGGGCGACGGCGGCGTTCTCCAGGCCGGTGTTCTCGGGTCCCTTGATGAAGATCACACGGAGAGCCTTGTTCAGGGAGCCGGAAACCTGCTCGGAGGCGGCGGGTTCGTTGAAGTCCTGCTCGTCGGCGGTGTAGGTGAAGAACTCCTTCTGGAGCTCAGCCTGGGGAGCAGCGTAGTTGGTGGCCACGGCAGAGGGAGCAGCTTCGACGGCAGGAGCGGGGGCATAGGACTCAGCAGGGGCATCCTGGATGGCAGCCACCGGGGCGGAGTAGCTCGGTCCGGAAGGAGCGAAGGATGTGGCAGGAGCCGAGGCAGCTGGCTGGTAGTTGTAGCCACTCCTGGCGCTGACAGCAGCAACAAGGCACAGAGCCTGGAAAGAGGAACAGTTAGAGGTGACAATCCCAGATCCTTTCCTCTGATGAATACTCACAATAAGGACGCGCATCTTGGTTTGGTGTGTAGGTGGGTAACTCCGCTCGGATTGCTGAATCGAAGGCAAGTATGTCCAACTCCACGACGCCCACGACTTTTATGCGAAATCACTGCAGATTGCAACTCCAGTTTTCTTTGTTTTTTTCGGCATCATTTGGTTTTTTAATTGGCTGTCTTTGATTTTTGCACCTCGTTCCGAGCAATTCGCCCAACGCTCCTTCATCAGCCAATCTCCACTTTGGCCAATTCCCATTCGCTTTTTTTTTTTTGTCAACGCTTGTTTAACCAATTTTTGCCGTCGTTATCTCTGAAGTTTGAATGTTTTCTTTCGGTGTCTATTTTCTGCTGTATCATTTGCTGGCGAGCATAATTTTTTATGATTTTTCTAAACAAACTCCGGCGAGTCTTCTGCTTATGCTAATCGGGCGTAGTGGGTGCTCTTGAAAAGAGCTGTCGTTGACCACTTTGGCTCTTTGTTATTGGCCATTCATCCGGCCACTCTGTTATCACTCATACATTATGTATGCCGTCTTGGTTCCGTCTTGCAGTTGCCATAAATTTGAGCGCTAATAGTTTGTCTAACCTTTTACTTCACGCAGATTAACATTTTAATTATGATAAAAAAATGTTCGTCGATTGTTTTGCCAGCATCCCAAAACATGTAAATTTTTATTGATTTCCACTTGTATTCGATTTGGCGCCATCGCATCGGAATTTTTATGGCCACTCGGGGAATGTAATAAACGCCGAGCTGTGCAATTTCTCACTCGCCCCAAAGTGAGTGGCTCCACCATAAACCATCGAAGCAAATCTCCATTTTGACACTGACAACTTTATGCCTGGCCCAGTTCCCACAGCCACCAGGATAGAAACAGCTAAGAGATAGATGTAAAAAGAATTGTATTTGAGGGTTCGTTCGACAAATCAATAGATAACACAAAAGTCAACAAGGGGAGTAGCTGCGAGCTATGGCACTTCCTAGTGGCGGTAACGCAGACGACTCAGCACCGACGAGGGCAGGTAGGAGTTCTCGGGGATCTGGGCCTGAGCCTGGCGCACGGGTCCTGCGGAGGCGAAGTTCAGGGCGGAGGCAACACCACCATCATGAGCCTGGGAGGATCCTCCCAGCTGGTCGTACTGCGACTGGATGGCGCGCTGGGCGTTGGCAGCATCCTCGGGAGTCCTGTACTTGACGAAGTGCACCTCGGGCTTGTTGTTCGAGTTGCTGCGGATGGCGTTCAGCTTCTGGGCGAGCTCTCCAATGTCAGCCTGCTTGTTGAGGACATAGATGGCGGTCTCCTGCTGGGCAGCCTGCTTGGCCAGAGCCAGGGCGGCGTTCTCCAGGCCACGGTTCTCGGGTCCCTTGATGAAGACAACACGAAGTCCCTTGTTCACGGAGCTGGCAACGCGCTCGAGTTCCTGGGGCTGATCGAAGTCCTCCTCGTTGGCGGTGAAGGTGAAGAACTCCTTCTCGAGCTCAGCAGCGGGAGCGGGGGCGTTGTAGGAGACGGGGGCACTGAGACCAGAGGATCCCAGACCGGAGGATCCCAGACCAACAGATCCCAGACCGGAGGAGCCCAGACCGGAGGAGCCCAGACCGGAGGATCCCAGTCCAGAGGATCCCAGACCGAGGGAACCACCGCCGAGACCGCTGTCCAGGCTGCCGAAGTTGCTGCCGCCTCCCAGGCTCAAGGATCCGCTGCTGCCTCCCAGTCCCAGGGAGCCACTGCCGCCTCCCAGGCTGAGGGATCCGCTGCCTCCGCCGAGACCCACGGAGCCGCTGCCAGGAGCGAAGGACAGGCCGGAGCTGGAGTGGCCCACCGGCTTGTAGTTGTAGCCGAGCTTGTCGGCGGAGGCGAGGGCCACGAGGCACAGGACGACGAAGGCGCGCATCTTGCTGCTTGCTGCTGGTTGACTTTTGCTGTTCTACTTAGAGCTCCGGAGTCGGAAGTCAGAATGATGTCGACCTGAGCCGTTGGGGCATTTATATGGCCTGGCCGACACGGGCGGGCGTCAATCAGAACAGGCGTGTGACAGCGTGCTGGAGATCGCGATAAGGTTCGCATTGTCTGCGCATTGCCTAACCTGTTTTTCTGTTTTTCTTTTTCCACTTGGCTTTGGGCTTCGGACTTGAAGCTCGGGGCTTTGGGCTTTGGTCTAGGCCAAGAAAAAAAAAACAAGAAGCAGAAGCTGCGGCGTTGGCGGCGGCGTTGATTAAAATTTGATGAACTTGCAGCTTATGGACAAACAAAATTTTTATGCAAATCAGTCGACAAAAGGGCTGGGCGGCGGCAGCAGCTCCAAATTGTCCGACTATGCAGTAGCCGCATTCTTTTGTTCGCCCATTTTGTTATGCAAATCGGGCCGGGGATGATTGAAAGTAAGACTCTGCTGGGCCCCAATGCTTTTGGGCTAATTTCCCAGCTTAATAATTTTAAATTGCCCGGCCCAATGGATTTCGGGCATTGTCGTCTGTCGTCCGAAGTCTCGTGCAATTTGTCAAGCGGAGCCAACTCAATTTCGGACCGCAAATCGCGTGGGTTTGGGCAACCAAGTAGCCGATAAGCCATATGTTATACACCGGATTATCACGCACCAGTTTAAACATGACGCCGGCAGAGAAAACATCTTAGGTTTCCGCTCATTTGCAATTTTCACAAACAGCTTGTCCGCCGGACTCATAATTCAATGCGGCTCGAACCCGTTTACCGTTTACGTTTACCAGCCGACGTATGCGAAAATTCCGAAGCTCGGAAATCCAATTCAAGCCGATAATGTGTCTAGGAATGTTGGCCAAGAAGATCCGCAAGCCGTTCGACAATTTACATTAGCAAACAAATTTATTTCGTCTTAAAATCTCAACAATAACAGAGGAATTTCTAAAGTAACAAAGCCCTGGAACTGGATCCCAGAACCTAGAACTTAGAACCTAGAACCGCAGGCGGCGCAGAATGTTGGCGGGCAGGTAGGAGCTTCCGGGCGTGGCTGGTGGCACGTACGAGGAGATGGGGGCGGTGGCCTCCGGCAGGATCTGGCTGGGCGCCGGGTTGCTGGCAGCCTGGACGGGAGCGGGCTGGGAGGCGAAGTTCAGGGTGGAGGCCACTCCGCCGTCTTGGGCCTGGGAGGATCCTCCCAGCTGGTCGTACTGACCCTGGATGGCACGCTGGGCATTGGCAGCATCCTCGGGAGTCCTGTACTTCACGAAGTGAACCTCGGGCTTGTTGTTGTTGTTGTTGCGGATGGAGTTCAGCTTGTTGGCCAGGTCTCCGATGTCAGCCTGCTTGTTGAGGACGTAGATGGCGGTCTCCTGCTGGGCAGCCTGCTTGGCCAGAGCCAGGGCGGCATTCTCGAGTCCCTTGTTCTCGGGTCCCTTGATGAACACAACGCGGAGTCCCTTGTTCACGGAGTTCTGGACCTGTTCGGAGGCAGCTGGGTCGTAGAAGTCACCCTCGTCGGCGGTGTAGGTGAAGAACTCCTTCTGGAGCTCGGCCTGAGGAGCAGCGTAGTTGGGGGCAGCGGCGGACTGGGCTCCCTCGAAGGAATCGGCAATGGGTGCTGGGCCAGCGGCGAAGGAAGATGGACCGGCGGCAAAGGATCCACTAGGTCCGGTCGAGAAAGATTCACTGGGAGCAGCCGAGAAGGCGGGAGCTTCGTTGCTGGCGGAACCAGAGGGCTGGAAGCTCAGGCCCGATGCAGAGTGGGCCACTGGCTGGTAGTTGTAGCCCAGTTTGTCGGCGCTGGCCAAAACGGCGAGGCTCAGGCAAAGGAGCACGGAGAACTGACGCATGTTGAGTGAGTGAGGTGGTTGCGGGATTTGATGTCGTTGCGAGATGGTTCTTTGGCTTTTATGCAGATGAATTCCACCGTCATGCAAAACGCTCTGCATAAAGTGGTCTAATTACGGTCCAAAACCAACTAGAACCACCCCGCTAAAATATGCAAGCGAAGCGGGTGGCTGCACCGTGAGGTCAACTCCGTGGCTCGGAAGGAAGAAGAGGTGTCCATGTTCGAAGCGGAGCCGGCGCCATAAAACTCATATTAAATTCAATATGCTGCCTTAATCAATAATTCGCGTATTCTTCTGCGCCGCTTTTGGCCAGTGCTGTGTGGACCAACCTTGCCGATTTGGTATTTTCATGTAGCTCTATCGTTGAAATCAATAAAAATCTGGCTATAAAAAGACGCGGACAGGCCCGAGCATCGTAAACCCCATTTGGGGCAATTTAGATGGATGCGTTACTCATGGATACGGCTCGGTATCTAAATATGAATCTGAATCGGAATCTGTATCGGAAACGAGATATAAGTTCGAACGGGATGAGAAGTGTCGCCCAAATCGGTCGGAGAGCAAACAAAACGTTTGACAGGCCGTTTCACATGCAAATGAGGCGCGCCTAGTCGCGTTACTGCTGCCAAAAATAAATATTTTAACGATTCGCCAAATTATTATTGCCTTATTCAGCGGCTTTGTCTTTTCGTCTTGGTCGTTGTGTTTCGGCTTTATGCAAATGATGCGGGTGGAGGCGACCTTCCGCCGCTGTCCGTCCGTTCGTTTGTCCGTCCGCCGGAAGTGAACCGTCGAACTCATCGCTAAATATAGCCGATTTGCGTAGATATAGCCCTATCGATCGGCTAGGCCGGTCGCTAATTAACAACTGCACTGCTGCGCCTTGTCAGCGCCAAATCAGATAATTCGATAATTGGCCTCCTAATAAATTACTTGGCGCCATCTGATTTGGCTATCCGAATCGGACTGCGAACCCCGGAGAAACTCAAACTCAAACTCAAAACTTGCCAATTCTGGCTATCGGCTAATTTGCATGCCGCTTTTCGCACTGCCAAAAAAAGCTCGGTTTTATGTGCAAAGGCATGCAAATATTTGCAACAGCAGCAGCAGCAGTGTGACGAATCATAAAATATATAATAGAGAAACCGCATTTAAATCTCTTATTTATGCATTTTTAAGGCAAATTTGAAGTCTTCATAATTCATATCGCCTCATAATGCAGCCGAAGAACTGAATCTTGCACCTATAAAAGCCAACATATCAGCGAGATAAAACAGTAACCAATCATCATTTCAAACCAAACAGTCAACATGCGTTCCTTCCTCGTCCTTTGCTTCGTTGCCTTGGCCACCGCCGACAAACTGGGCTACAACTACCAGCCAGTGGCCCACTCCTCTTCGGGATTGAGCTTCCAGCCATCTGGTTCGGCCAGCAACATTGCTCCTGCCTTCTCGGCTGCTCCCAGCGGATCCTTTGCCGCCGGTCCAGGATCTTTTTCGACTGGTCCCCAGACCTTCGGCCCAGCTCCCGTTGCTGAGCCCTTCGAGGCTTCCCAGTCCGCCGCTGCCCCCAACTACGCTGCTCCCCAGGCCGAGCTCCAGAAGGAGTTCTTCACCTACACCGCCGACGAGGGTGACTTCTACGACCCAGCTGCCTCCGAGCAGGTCCAGAACTCCGTGAACAAGGGACTCCGCGTCGTCTTCATCAAGGGACCCGAGAACAAGGGACTCGAGAACGCCGCCCTGGCTCTGGCCAAGCAGGCTGCCCAGCAGGAGACCGCCATCTATGTCCTGAACAAGCAGGCTGACATCGGAGACCTGGCCAACAAGCTGAACTCCATCCGCAACAACAACAACAACAAGCCCGAGGTTCACTTCGTGAAGTACAGGACTCCCGAGGATGCTGCCAACGCCCAGCGTGCCATCCAGGGTCAGTACGATCAGTTGGGAGGATCCTCTCAGGCTCAAGATGGTGGTGTGGCCTCCACCCTGAACTTCGCTTCCCAGCCCGCTCCCCGTGAAAGTGCCGCTGCCAGCGCTCCTGGTGCAAGCTACCTGCCCGCCAGCATCTTCCGTCGCTTCCGCGTCTAAACCCTATTTACCAGTTGTTTGATTTGTTGTCTAGTTATCTAATTGATTTGTTGAATAAAGAAAACAAAACGAAATAGTTATCAAAATAAATTTCATTTTTCTTTGAACTTGCTCTTAGCTACTCCTTCTTAAGTCCCATATTGAAAAAGTATCTCTCTAGGCCTATGGTTCGATTCTCGCACTAAAAAGCCCTTAGCTTCCATAATTTAATTCCGATTTTGGATTGGTATACCATAAAATGCTTAGGAAGTACCTATCTAAAAAATTTCATCATTAATTTGGTTTCGATTTTTGGGTCGTTTTTTTCACATTTTTATGAGTAAAAAATCGGAAAAATAGCTTTTCCGGAATTTGGCCTACAACCAGCACTTAAGAGTCCATAACTTTTCTAAATGATGTCCGGTTTTGGATTGGTATACCTCAAAATGCGTGTGAAGTATCTCTCTAAAAAACTGCATAATTTGTTTGGTTCGATTTTTGAGTCCATTTTTTTTACATTTTTATGATGTCCCCCCTGTCAAAAATCGGAAAATGGCTATTTCGGAAATTGGCCTACAACCAGCACTTAAGAGCCCATAACTTTTCTAAATGATGTACGATTTTGGATTGGTATACCTCAAAATGCTTATGAAGTAGTTCTCTAACAACCAGCATCGTTAGTTTGGTTTCGATTTTTGGGTTGATTCTTTCATATTTTTATGATGTTACCCCTGCCAAAGAACCCAAAAAGTGCAAATTCCAAAAATGGCTCAATTTAGAATTTTGGATAGATTTTTCACATTTTGAAACCCCTCAATAATTAGGAAATTTCTACGTTGTCGTATCATTTCTTAAATGTTTAATTTTCTTGAGTTTTCCCTATTTCTATAAAATAATTTATAAAAAAAAGTTGTTCGAATTCGGGCGCCTTCATCAGGAAACGGCTTCATACTAGATCGATCAACATCTGGACGGGCCTTTATAAAGGGGACCATCGTGGAATTCCCAGACTATTTAAAACAGGTTTTCAGAGTTCAAAGCAAGCTTCCGACATTCTTCTTGGCTTTGAACCCGAAACTAAAAAGTTGCTTGAAATACTAGACCCACTTTCGATACCAAAATAGCGTCACACAGAGAAAAACAAAAAATCATAAACTATCAATAGAATCGACAAAAGAGTATGCATAGATTAAGCTTTTATTGATTCGTAGGCGGAACTCCAAGAATGCATCACATTGTGTTCGACTTTAACGGCCGTCAGAACATTTATAGCCGGCTCTTACTTTTTTTCGAAACGGGTTTCGATAGTTCTGCAGCGTTTTCCCCAATCGAATTCCGGGCAGTTTTGGCCGCGGCGCCATGAACCGGTCGAGAATAACGCGTCTGCAATTGGACAGAAAGTCTGGGGTCGCCGACTGGATGGATTGGCGAGAATTTTAGGATAGTTTTGCATAATCATTTCATAAGCGCACCGCTTAGCATAAGAAACTAGTTGAGTTATGGAGCAACCCGACGGGAATGGTGTCGCTTATTGTTCTAACTGGGTTCTAACTACGCCGGCCGGGTATAAAAGCTGCGCTCCGCAGCCTCAGGATTCAGTCTTGGCCTTTGCCTGTTCAGCACACCTAGCACTAAAAACCAAAACCTTGAAAAATGCGTTTCCTCATCGCCTTCTGCCTGATCGGTGCCGCCTGTGCCCAGTACAACTACGGAGCAGGATTCTCGGGAGCGGCCTCCGATCCGATTCCCAGCTACTCCGGAAGCTCCGGAGTGGGCGACTACGACGGATCCGCCAGCAGCCCGGTCTCGGACTACTCGGCCTCCAGCGAGCTGAACAAGGAGTACTACACCTTCGAGGCCGACGAGAGCCAGTTCGACGATCCCCTGGCCTCCCAAAAGATCGCCGGCTCCGTGAACAAGGGACTGCGCGTGGTGTTCATCAAGGGACCCGAGAACCGTGGCCTGGAGAACGCCGCCCTGGCCCTGGCCAAGCAGGCTGCTGAGCAGCAGACCGCCATCTACGTCCTGAACAAGCAGACCGACATCGGTGACCTGGCCCAGAAGTTCAACGCCGCCCGCCAGAACGCCAACCAGCGTCCCGAGGTGCACTTCGTCAAGTACAGGACTCCCGAGGATGCGGCCAACGCCCAGCGCGCCATCCAGTCGCAGTACGACAACCTGGGAGGCTCCAGCCAGTCCATCAACGGAGGAGTGGCCAACGCCATCAACTTCGCCTCCGCCGCCCCCCACGTCCCCGCTCGCCGTGGCCCCAACTACTCCCCGCCCGCCGCCGCCACGAGCAACTCCTACCTGCCCGCCAACATCCTGCGTCGCCTGCGCATCCGTTAAGGAGCAGAGGAGCCGACAGTTGTTAAATGTGTTGTAGAAATGTAATTGAATAAAAACGAAAATCGATATAAACCAATATATTGTGCGTTGTCTGTGTATCGCGGAGCTAGATCTTCTAAATTTCTGGCTTTGTCAGCGGTTATTGCATTTTTATGCTCGTGTTGTTTGCCTTTATCGCCATTCCTTATAATAACATTTATGCAAAGCTGAATTGCTCTGCGGGTCCGAACAAAAGCCGAGCGCTGCCTACTTTGTAGGCGGAAAAACATTTAGCAGCATTTCAGCGCTTTGTCTTCGAGAAGCTGCGACGTCAGCATCGAACTTGGGTTACTATAAATGTTAACCGCCGCGGTGCTCATAGGCAGAAGCAATTTGTGCTCCAAACCAAGAGAAACTAAACTCAAGATGCGCGCCTTTATCGTAAGTTGTTCAAACAGGATATCTTTGAACTGGCAACTAATGGATTACCCTAATTCTTGATTCCTGCAGGTCATGTGCCTCGTGGCAGTCGCCTGCGCCGATAAGCTCGGCTACAACTACCAGCCCGTGGGCCACTCCAGCTCCGGCCTGTCCTTTGCCCCGGGAAGCGGCAGCATTGGAGGAGGTTCCATTGGTGGTGGCTCCATCGGAGGAGGAAGCATCGGAGGTGGCCTGATCGGAGGTGGTTCCCTCGGCGGTGGATCCCTGGGTGGCTCCCTCGGAGGTGGTTCCCTTGGTGGTTCCCTCGGAGGTGGATCCCTGGGTGGCTCCCTCGGAGGTGGTGCCATCGATTCCGGTCTGGGCGGTCTTGGAGGTCTTGGTGGTCTGGGAGGTGGCGATTCTCTGAGCGCCCCCGTCTCCTACAACGCCCCCGCCCCCGCTGCCGAGCTCGAGAAGGAGTTCTTCACCTTCTCCGCCAACGAACAGGACTTCGATGAGCCCCAGGAACTCGAGCGCGTTGCCAACTCCGTGAACAAGGGACTCCGCGTTGTCTTCATCAAGGGACCCGAGAACCGTGGCCTGGAGAACGCCGCCCTGGCTCTGGCCAAGCAGGCTGCCCAGCAGGAGACCGCCATCTATGTCCTCAACAAGCAGGCTGACATCGGAGATCTCGCCCAGAGGTTGAACGCCATCCGAAACAACAACAACAACAAGCCCGAGGTTCACTTCGTGAAATACCGCACTCCCGAGGATGCTGCCAACGCCCAGCGCGCCATCCAGTCGCAGTACGACCAGTTGGGAGGATCTTCCCAGGCTCATGACGGTGGTGTTGCCCCCGCCCTGAACTTCGCCTCCGCTGGTCCCGCCCAGAAGATCAACGCCCAGATCCCTGAGAACGCCTACCTGCCAACTTCGGTCTTTCGTCGTCGTTTGTAAATAATTCCTAACGACTCCGTTATGAAGCCGTCTTTGTTAAAACTTTTTGTTGAACCCTATTGATTATTTTTACGAAAATACAAAACTTTTAAATCTAACTATCATTTGTTTGGATTTTCCGGGGATGGTGGATATGCTTTCATTTTGCTCGCAAAATTGCAGATTGGGACTTTTCTTGGACTTATTACTTTTCAAATTTATGTTAGAAAAATATTTATTTTAAAAATACAAGACTTATAAAAACCAAAAATATTTTAATAATAAGTTGAATAATATTTCAAAAATATTTTTTAACAAGTTTTAATTAGTCCTTAAAAAAAACTTGAGAATTATTTAAGATGAAAAGAGATTGAAAAAAATGTTTTTTTTTTTATTATTCTGCACGCCAATTTTATAAGGAATATTTTCTATGCAGACTTCCTGAAGACCTTCACTATAAATAGCTCTGGTTATAGCTTAAATATTTGAACTCTATCAAGGATTTTTGGCTTCCAAAAGTGCTGGATGAGAAGCACATCTAAGTACTTCCGCATATTTTAATATAGGCCAAAATTAGTCAAGAAACAAAAAGAAAAACAAATTCGAAATAAAAAACATATTGTTCTCACAACGTTTAAAATTAGTCGCTTAATAAGCGAATAATGTATTCAAAATCAAAGTCAATCAACTGGGGGCGGCATTTCAAACACTTCATTAGACGAATTGCTAATTATAAAGCTTGCGTCATGTTAATAAATCAGAACTAAACAGATGTGTCGACAACGTTTAGGGTGACTAAACGATTGCCGTCGAGTCGGAAAACCCAAGTGCAGATGTCCTACATAAAACAAGCTCCTAGCCTTGCCGAAGAATTTGTGAAAAATATTTGTTTTATATAAAAGCTAATGATGACCCATCTGCATGATAAACTCATTCCGATGTGCTCGCGACATATTAATTGTATAATTTCATATGAATTCTTGTAAAATATTGGACGAAACTTGAAATATTTGAATAACCCGCGACGAGCAGACCCACTGCCCATTGAAACGCAACCGAAAAATTCCACATCGCACATTAAAAACCCGAAGAGCAAAAACCTTTGTAGGCGGCAAAACACAGTGGCATCAAAGAGATCTCCGTGCAGCGAAGACGCCGCGGCGGTATCTTTGTCTTTATCAGCCTCCAAGATGGATTTGTATAAATAATAAAGATCGCTCCTAGCCAGAGACACAATCAGTTCGTACCTCAAAGCAAAAGAACCAGCAATCAGCCCAAGATGCGCGCATTCATCGTAAGTTGTGCGCTCGAGGACCCAAAGGATTACACGCCAGGATAACACTTATTTCTTCCCGTGCCACAGGTTTTGTGTTTGGTGGCAGTCGCCTGCGCCGATAAGCTCGGCTACAACTACCAGCCGGTGGCCCACTCCAACTCTGGATTATCCTTCGCCCCAGGAAGCGGCAGCATTGGAGGTGGCTCCATTGGTGGAGGCTCCATCGGAGGTGGTTCCCTCGGTGGTTCCCTCGGCGGTGGTTCCCTCGGTGGTGGATCCCTGGGTGGATCCCTCGGAGGTGGCTCCATCGATTCCGGTCTGGGCGGTCTTGGAGGTCTTGGTGGTCTGGGAGGTGGCGATTCTCTGAGCGCCCCCCGTCTCCTACAACGCCCCCGCCCCCGCTGCCGAGCTCGAGAAGGAGTTCTTCACCTTCTCCGCCAACGAACAGGACTTCGATGAGCCCCAGGAACTCGAGCGCGTTGCCAACTCCGTGAACAAGGGACTCCGTGTCGTCTTCATCAAGGGACCCGAGAACCGTGGCCTGGAGAACGCCGCCCTGGCTCTGGCCAAGCAGGCTGCCCAGCAGGAGACCGCCATCTATGTCCTGAACAAGCAGGCTGACATCGGAGATCTTGCCCAGAAACTGAACGCTATCCGCGGCAACAACAACAACAAGCCCGAGGTTCACTTCGTGAAATACCGCACTCCCGAGGATGCTGCCAACGCCCAGCGCGCCATCCAGTCGCAGTACGACCAGTTGGGAGGATCTTCCCAGGCTCATGACGGTGGTGTTGCCCCCGCCCTGAACTTCGCCTCCGCTGGTCCCGCCCAGAAGATCAACGCCCAGATCCCTGAGAACGCCTACCTGCCCACTTCCGTCTTCCGTCGCCTGCGAATCTAAGCCGGATGAGCTTTGTACTCCATTCGCTTAAGCTAGAATCTCGACTGAAGAAGTCACTCTTCCTGTTACATGTTGTTGACTAATGCATAATTACACCAATAAATTTGAAATTTAAAAACGAACATCGACAAAGGTCTTCTTTATGTGTTTTATAGAGTGGCGTTTTTATTACGGTTTTGCCATAGAAGCTAATGGTGCATTAAAACCGCCTTGTTCGGCTTGTTTGTTTGCGGATGGGTTGAATATAAACAGTGCCCTTCGAGCCAAAAATATCTCGAATGGTCGACATCGAGATAAGGAAGGCAGATGCGGGCAGGTTTCCTTTGTGAGTATTTAAAGCGATTTAGATGCAGATTTAGTTCGACTTTCCATACAAATCGGTGGACTAATTGTCTGACACAGTCAACTCGCATGCCGCCAGATTAATTGTCTACAAGATTAGATCCACCCACTTTGCCCGGGGGAAGGCATTTATATCGGTCTCCCGACCAAGCGCCAACTGGTTCTTTATCGTCGACAGCTCAAGGTCGCGGAGATGCCAACAACTGTTAGTTGACCTGGTTTTCGAGGCCCGTCGTGTGTGTCACGTACAATTAGAAAGGAATCTCAAGTGCAACCCACATACGAAGACAATCAAGATTTATGCCCAATCGAAACCTGATTAGCCATAAAAACAAAGTCTAATCATTAATTTTATTAAGCTGACGATCACTTTTTTGTTGAAATCATTAACAAATAAGCGGTTCTGTATACATATTCAAGCAAATACAATAAAACAATCGGCTTAACCAAACCAACCAGCCAGCCACTTCGGATTGCAAGAGTCGAGAGCTCGGTTTTTTTGTGCATAAATTATAAGCCAATTATGGGTGAATCACGATTGTTCGAAAAACGACTGGACTCGCACTCGCACTCGGACTCGGTCGTTTAAACTCTGACTCGGATTCGAAATCGCATCTCAAAGTCGTCGGAGGCGGCGCGATTGATGCTGCCCCTGCTCAAAACAATGTGTTAAATGTGTTAAGAGCGAAATTATGTTAGCAGATTAACAGCATTCCGAAAGCCCGATGGCCAATAGCCACTGGCCATTCGCGATCCACGATTCGTGAGCGCAGATCGATGATCGCCGTGTTCCGCCAGCGGGACCCCAATGCGACTAGACGGCTCAATTGACCAGATTTTCTAGTCTAATTTTAACCGTCTTCGCGTTGGCGGTATAAAAGCTAGTTAATGAATAATATGGTCAGCATTCTTCTAGAACTCTTCGCAGACGACAGGTCAAAATGCGTGTCCTCATTATTTTAGGCATTGTGGCAGCGGCAAGTGCCGGAAGTTTATCCGGTTATAACTACGGACAAGGTGCAACCACCAGCATTGGAGGAGGTGGTGGTTCCCAGGTGGTTCCTGCTTTGGCGGGACCAGTTAGCTACAATGCCGCTCCCCAGGCCTCCGTCCACAAAGAGTTCTACAGCTTCTACGCCAACGATGCCGACTTCGAGGATCACGATGCGCTTCAGAGGGCCCTTTCCACGATCAAGAAGAACGTCCGCGTGATCTTCATCAAGTCACCGGAGAACCGTGGCTACGAGAACGCCGTTTTGGCCCTGGCCAAGCAGGCTGCCCAGCAGCAGACCGCCATCTACGTGCTGCACAAGCAGACCGACATCAATGAGCTGGCCCAGAAGTTCAACGCCGTTCGCCAGAACGCCAACAAGAAGCCGGAGGTTCACTTCGTGAAGTACAGGACTCCCGAGGATGCTGCCAATGCCCAGAAGGCCATCCAGTCGCAGTACGATCAGCTGGGCGGTTCTAGCCAGTCCATCAACGGAGGAGTTGCTAACGCCATCAACTTCGCCTCCCAGGGAGCCGCTCCCGTTCGATCCGCTCCACAACAGGTGCCCCAGAGCAACTATCTGCCCGCCTCCATTCTGAACCGCCTGCGTCACTAGAAAATCACGTTGTTAAAGTTGTTGTCGAATAAAAATTATTTAATTTGTAGAAGTTTGTTGTTTACTTTTATAGATCCAATTATTTTTTTTCGTTTTATAGAAACTTTTTTCTTCATTCTGTTTTAGTTTCTGGTTCGATCCAGAATTTGATGTTTCTGCTTATATTTTATATTTAATTTATAATTCCACTACTCAGCTAAAAATCAAATGGAAGACCATAGTTTGTTTTACTAATTGACTGTAATAAAGTTATGAAACCTGATTAGTTCGACTTTTTGGTATTTTTTTACGGCCACCATTTACTCTCTTAGGTATGCAACATATTTTTTTAAGCAGGACTGTAAGCCATTCTGGTTGCATTAAAATACAATTTATGTTTTTTAAATACCCAGGGTGGGTATTTATCATCTAGGCTTAAGTATGTACATTTGTATATATTATGTTGAACCTGTAATTCCCTTTAGTATAAGTCGCTATAAATAGTGACAGTAAGCTAAATAAAAAAAAAAAAAAAATGTTTTTAAAATGTTAATAAATTGCAAAATAAAAAAGTCCTTCTTCTTCTTATATTAACCTGATACTACTGTTACCAGCTTTTTTTTGTGTTCAAAGTTAAGAGCTAAATTTCATGAAAATATTTTTGAACTTGTAAGTGTTTTCCCCCTTAAAGCTTCAGAATTCCTTTAAGCATTTTAAAGAATCAGTTTTAAATTTAAGAGTTGAATTTATTTAAGCATTAGTCAACAATAACTAGGGTTTAAAATCAGTCAAAGAACGCTTGCGTTTTCTGTTCTGTGAGAAGTGAAACGAGCGACTTAGACGCGACGGAAGACCGACGAGGGCAGGTAGGAGTTGTCGGGGCTCTGGGCGGTGGCCTGACGCACTGGTCCGGCGGAAGCGAAGTTCAGGACGGGGGCAACACCACCGTTGTGGGCCTGAGAGGATCCTCCCAGCTGATCGTACTGCGACTGGATGGCGCGCTGGGCGTTGGCGGCATCCTCCTGAGTGCGGTACTTGACGAAGTGAACCTCGGGCTTGTTGTTGTTGTTGCTGCGGATGGCGTTCAGCTTGTTGGCCAGATCACCGATGTCGGCCTGTTTGTTGAGGACATAGATGGCGGTCTCCTGCTGGGCAGCCTGCTTGGCCAGAGCCAGGGCGGCGTTCTCCAGGCCACGGTTCTCGGGTCCCTTGATGAAGACGACGCGCAGGGCCTTGTTCAGGGCAGAGGACACACGCTCCAGCTGCTGGGGCTCATCGAAGTCCTGCTCGTTGGCGGTGAAGGTGAAGAACTCCTTCTCCAGCTCGGCGGCGGGGGCAGGGGCGCTGTAGGAGACGGGGGCGCTCAGAGATTCGCCACCGCCGATGCTGCCACCTCCGATGCTGCTCAGACCACCCAGACCGGCACCTCCGCTGATGCTGCCTCCGATGGAGCCTCCGCCGAGGGAGCCACCCAGAGATCCTCCTCCCAGGGAGCCACCGAGGGAACCACCTCCGATGGAGCCACCACCAATGGAGCCACCACCGATGGAGCCACCTCCGATGCTGCCGCTTCCCGGGGCGAAGGACAGGCCGGAGCTGGAGTGGCCCACGGGCTGGTAGTTGTAGCCGAGCTTATCGGCGCAGGCGACTGCCACCAAGCACAAAACCTGAAGATAGACAAACCGCATTGTAATCCTTGATATCCTGCGGGCTTTCAACGGTATTCAATACTTACAATGAAGGCACGCATTTTGAATTTAGTTCTTTGACTTCGACCACTAAGTTGTGTCTGACGTTTGCATCACCGAAAGGTCCAATATTTATACGAAAACCACCGATCGGTGTCACTAGACTGCGCTCAAGTTCATGCAGACTTACCACCGAAGTTGTTGTTGCTGCTTGGCTTGGAGCATTTTTAAGTAACTTCTTCGGCAGCTTTTGTCTCTTGAAATGCTATCCACCTTCGAAAAACGTCGCTGGCTGAGATAAAACAATGGCCGAAGCCGTCGTGAACAAAGCGCATCGATAGCTAGCCGCCCTATTCTTGCAAATGCCGGCGTTGACTTTATGCAAATTTCCCGCATCTCAGCCGAAGTGGCAGTACCATCTCCGAAATATAATATTTAGGCAGAAGACATAGCCGTCAAGTTGTAATCCAATAGGGCAGCAGGCTCTGCGCAGAGGAAGCGGCCAGAAAGCTGAAAACTCGTTTAGCAAAAGCCACTATAAATGGTCATGCTTTCGGTAAATGAAACGATTTTCTTCATATTTTTGTATGCTAAAACATTTGCCGGAGCACCGAAACGAGTTCGAAAACGACTCGGGTTTTCTACACTTTTTAGTTGGTCCAGCCGCATATTTCTAGCTGGGAATTCCCAGCGATTATTGCTCCCCTCTTTGGTATTTGGAATATGGTATTCGGTGTTTGGTATTTGGGACTGGCCGCTCTAGGGTTTGGCCATTCGATACTGAAACAGAGCTCATTGGGTGGGGGAAACAATGGCTCCAAAACGGATAGAAATCAATTTTCGCCAGCACTTTTTTGCGCATCCATTCATTCATCCGTCCATCCAGCCAACCATCCATCCATCTATCTATCTAAATAGCAGTCTGTCGATCTGTCCGAAGTCCGGCCATTTAACCTGTGGCAAAAACACGGTTTGGCTTGGCAAAATAGAAGCCATAAAGTTAACAACCGTTGCGACCTTGAGGTTTTTACTGTTGGCCAGCACCCGAAGCTATTCGGAATTCGGCGGTAATCAGCTGGCGCCAGGCGACCATTTAATCTGATCAGCGATTATCACGTTTTTCATCATGGTTTATTGATATCATAAAAATTATTGTTTTTTATTTTGGCAAATTTCGTGGAGCAGGGGGGCAAAAGCAGCAACAAAACCGCTGAAAACCGATTCGATTTGCATAATTAAAGAGCTGTATCGGAGAAATACCCAAGATCCATATTTAAGATAGCCAAATCGATTTGCAAATCAATAGTGGCGAATGCCAATCGCGGTTATGACTAACATATTGATTGATATCACGGATAACTATAGCGATGAGTAACTTGAGGAGAGGGTCACTGAGGAAATCCGCCGAGATTCCATGATATCACTTTTTTCCTTCATGACCGACACACAAGTCTTTCGTTCTACATCTAATGGAGTGTGTCTGCACCCCAACTCCCCGCTGGCCAGAACCTAATCAAGATTCACACTCGAGGCAATAACCTAAAGTCAAAAGCAATTTGTCTTGGCTTTGTGTGCGGCCCCACCTTTTTGCCCACCAACTGTTGCGGATCGACCAATGGCCAGCTCCGCTGCCAGCTTCTCAGCTTCTCGGCCAACTCAGTCGCTGGTGGCAATGTCATATGCAAACTAAACAAATGTAAACATAATAAAACAAACCAGCTACAATTTCAAGGTCTCGGGCGCCACACGAACGAACATAAAAGATGCACGCAGCAGCGACATAAAAAGTGGTCAAAAGCGGGGAAGAGTTTTCAGCTCGGACTCGAAGATAATAGCGTTCGGACGACGTTGGCGTATCGATAAATAAAAATAAATAAAATGGGGCCCCGCCGGACAGAGAAACTCCGGGAGGGAATCCGTCGCACCGCTTTATGTAAATGGCCGCTGGGGTCAATCGATCTATTTACAAAATCTGTCAGTGTTTATTATTTCTCCCATTATTTTTCCCGCTTCTAGACATCCAGGCAGCCCCCATATTACTTTATTGCCATTGTTCTGGCTTTTTGTATGTCGAATCGAATAAAATTGTGCACTTAATTTATTCGGCTATCACCTGGATGGCGTCAAAACCGGGCGGTGCCTTTCAGGTGCAAAAATCCAATCAAATCTGTCGCCTTACCATAAATTGGAGCATTAGTAATTTCCTTAAATCATAAGCTTTATCTGCGCAAAATTTGCAATTCGAAGCCCAGAAAAACAAGTTTGTTTGCTTCTTGCCTTTCTTTTGCAAAAATGTTTGGGGCTGCCGCCTTTTAGAACTCTTTTACGAGCGGACCGCTTGTTCTATTCTATTCTTTTCTTATTTTGTTTGTTTTTTTCCCAAAATTCGTTTCCGCATGCCAGGCGACAAATACAAATATGTTTTACTAAAAAAGCTGACTGGCTGGCCACAAAACCGTTTCGGTGTGCAAAAAAAAAAAAATATGCAAATATATTAAATTTGATATGCAAATAGCCGATATCAATTATTGCAAGCGCAAAAGCCCGAACCAAAACGAACCGAACTGAAACTAAACTAAAGCTTATGCTAAAAAAGAGCGATATTTCAAAAAACTGGCCGCGAGTGCTGAAAGGAATAAATCAAATCAAATTTCGCCGAGCTGGCTAATTTGTTTAGCAAATTGTGTTAGCAATAAAAACATTTTGTATTGACAATCAAACGGCAACGACGACAGATGCTTATTATTATTTTGCGTGTTTTTTCATGTTTTTTATTGTATTTTTTTGCGCAACCAGCTAAGTGGCCAAGATTATTTATTAAAAAGATGAGAGTAACAGAGATTTTTGTTTATGCGCGTTAATCAGCCGAAAAAGCCCCGGGAAATTGACACCACACTCGAACGAAACATCAGAGAAGCAAACACCAATTGCCTGGCAGCTAGAAAAAAAAAGAACAAATAAGAGAAAAATCCCGCACCATTGCGCGATATCCACAGAGTTATAGCAAAAAACGAGCAAATAAATTCTCGGCTTACTGCGTGAGCCTTGGCGGCCCCAAGAAGGCAATAAATTATTTTCGAGGCCTCCTTAGTGCGAGTCCTAAGCTAAAAACATGGAATTGTCTGCTGTGTAGTGCACATTGTCGGCGACAGTTGAGCTCTCCATTTTATTTTAATTGCAGGCCTGCCTTTGCCTAATGCGAGCTTAATGTCCCAGTTTCAGGATCCCAGCTCTTTACGAGCGACAACAGGGCCCCAGTGCAAATTGTCGTTTAATTTATTAAGCAGCGACTATGCCGGCTTTTAATATGAATATGTGTGCAAAACACTAATTACAGATACGCCACGCCCACGCCCGCGCCCACGCCCACGAACATGTATATAGTAATTAGAAAATAAGAACACATAGGCGTAGATATTGCGCCCGTTCGCATCTCACTGGCTGACATAAATTTGGCGCAACGCTGCGTATACGTAATGAAAGCACACTCACAATGGAGCGCCTACTAACTCAATCCGCAGAACACCGGTGGAAAATCAACTATGGAGCGAGGCCAGCCACGATTTCTGGTTGTCCGAGTTCCAAACTGGTCTGACCCAACTATCACCTGGCTGACCTGGTATTCCCCAGTCCATTTCCATTTCCATTTCCATTCCCCCCTCGAAATTTATCGCCAACTTGAACTTGAAGATGTCGCCATGCCCATTTGCATTTCTAATGAAAACGTCACCAGAACTCGAACGAGCGAACCTCTGCCATCGGCGGTGGTCGAGCATAGAGCTTTGTTTTCGGGTCGAGAGAGAATTAGCATATTTACATAATACCTAGGTGCACCCCGTTGAGTGGCTGCTGTGAAATATGCTACGAGCCGAGTGTCCAACTCTTGCTTAATTGAGGCAAATATTTTCACATCTCGTTCGAAAGGGGGTTCGGGAGGCGAAATGGGTCAGGGTGGATTAATGGGCTCTTGTTACACGCACTAAGTACGTTTCGGCAAGTGCCTAATGTTTCCACAAGCGAACGAGTGTTTGCCCGTTGACAATAATTTGGATTTTTAGCATGCTCGCACTTGTGTTGTTAAATATTTTTGCAAGTAATTCCATCAGCTCGTTGGGAATTTGATTTTATGGCATGCTTGACTTTAACGAAGGGCAAAGGCGACGGCGAAAGCGACAGTGACGGTGAGTGCTGTGCGTATACTTGATGTGCTTTAAGGATAGCTTTAGCTCGGTCTGTCATATTGGGTATTCCTCGACGACACTCAGCATCCTGGACCGCCCCTTTATGCGCTGCACATGACAATGAGCAGGAATCGTGGCCCACGCCGGGATATCGCCCATTGCCCGCACTTGTCACGTCCGATTCAATGGGCAAGGGCATGCGGATAGGGAATTCGAGGGTCAGGGGTTCGGGAGTTCAGGGGTTCGGGGGTTACGCGTTAAGTGATGCCGTGTTGTTCCGTTAAAAGTGACTTTAGCACGTGTGCTGTCCAAGTTAGATCAGCATCGGCATCCGCATCGGAATCAGCATTCGCATCCGCATCGGCATCGGCATCAGAACAACTTGGCGAAAGTACGCTAACGGGGCGAACTGGCAAACGATCTAATAACAATTCCTGGAACGTCCCGTCGCTTCTAGTTGCCCAGTAGCCTTTCAAGACGACAAGGCTGCGATGTTGCGTGGTTTAATCAATCAGCAAACTAGTTGCACGTGCTGTCAGAACTCGACTTCCCTTTACAGAAAACCGGGGAACGGGCACTTTGGGCATTGACTAGGCTTAGCCGCCGTAATTTATGAACTTGGTCAGGCTTATTATTATTGGAAATTTCATAAATTATTAGCCAAGGTTATCATGTTTGGCCAACATTGGGGTGACCTTATTTTTCACGTACGTGAGCAGGTGACAGATCTATCAGACCCGCTGACATGCACACTTTACCGTGGGAATAGGAATACATCCATATCCTGCCCTACTTGTTTGCCCTCCGCCGATACTGTTGCCCTATCAATAAGCCTGGAAACAGGTCGCAGTTGTTTTGGCTTTTACCGCGCGTCACGTTTCAAATTTATTACACGCAGAAACTCTTCAATTTGGCCAACGCCTGTCAATTTTGCCGGCGGGTTGTTTTTGGGAGAATGGCTTCCAGCAGGA